AACAGAAGAACACAGCCAGTTTTCAGACGCATATGTGTCACTGCGCTATTTCAGGAATTGTTCCAATGTGAGATGTTTATAATAAGCTTGGTGTGACCGAGCCAAGCAGCTTAATATAACAAGGTTAAGGGAATGGTGGGAGGGGAGGGTTTCACTCCACCAGTTTGCATGTATTAGTAATCACAAAGGTTTGCAGATGGCAGCCCCGTGGAGCATTGCTAAATCTGGAACTTGTGGTTTGCAAATCATTTTAACAGCTGCTATCATCTCTCCTAGAGAGGGCAGGAAAAAGTAAGTGTTATTATTTTATTACATTAAAGTAAGTCACAAAGAAACTAAAAACAGTGTAATTTGGCAAATATAAAATTTACTGGTTGAGTAGAACACCATGTTGTGCTCTCCCACTGGGCTGGCTAAAGATGAGTTTTCTGGGAACATCTCAGTGAACAGATGTTTCTTCTTATGTTCTTATGAAGAGTTTACTGGCACCTAATTGTTAGTGATGGGTTATTTCAGCAAAAGAATTGCTTATTTACCTAGGTACATGTAGGCATACCTGGTTTTATTACGCTTTCCTTCATTGTACTTCACAGATATTGTTTTTTTAACAAATTGAAGGCAAAACCCTCCCCCAGAAAAAAAGATTATAACTTGCTTCATTGCGGTGGTCTGGAACTGAACCCGGAATATCTCCAAGGTATTGTGCAGACATATACTGAATTTTTGATATATATCAATTAAGGGTGTTGCCTTAATTAAACAACCAAGTTGGACTCACTTAGGTGAATATTTGTCTGGATTTCATAATTAAGTATTGAATGATTATTAAAATAATCTACTTAATCTAAAGTTTGTAAATTCAATGTTTAAGAAGCAGTAAAGGGAGAGAAATGTAAATGGTTGGCAAAAGAAAGATGATAACATTGTCAACTTTTTTGAGTCAGCCTTTGATTCACAAGACTTTCTAAAGATCTTTTCGGATCACCCTGAAATCTGCTAACTTTTTCCAGGATGCTACTTTTGTACGTCTGTATAACTCTTATGTCTTTCTTTGCAAAGAAATGCTACTGTTTCTCAGTGATGGGAGAATATGGATATTGAGAAGGACAAATCATGTTCTTATGTTGTCTGTAAATTCCTAAAGAGTATGAAGTATTTTCTATATTGTACAGATATGGCGAATTTATTCTAACCTATTGACTACTCCTTCAGGAAGTCAGAACAAATGTAGAAGATTTCCGTATGTCCCAAAGAGTGAGAGACTATCAGAGATTAATGTTGAACTCAGCAGTTACATCATTGGGGGAAATTGGATCTGTAATGAATAGCCCAACTCTAAGTAAGGAACAAATCACACTTGTTTTACAGTTGCTGCCACGCATCAGGGGCTTTTCATTATTGCTGTACAGTTTTATATCAAAGAGATTGTTGAAAATCGTTGATTCAAGAGCTTTTACTACATACAACAAGGCAACTCAGGCAATAATCATAACAGGACTCAGATTCTAGAAGTAAGAACAACAAGGCATAGTTCAATCAATAGGAGAAAAAAGAAATCAGATTAGTGAAATAATTGGTTTGGGTAATCTGTGACATTTAGCTAATGGGAATCCAAATGGAATTCTCATACCAGATTTATGGTTCTACTTTTTAAATTTCTGTTTATAACCATGAATTTAGCAAACAGTATGTATAGCATTATGCACAGTGCATGACATATAATAGATGCCCCCAATTTTTCTCTGTCTTTGCTGCCAAACTAGAATAACCCCCTATTTTACGTTCTCATAGCCCCTGGCCCCTTTCTTTCCCAAGGTGTAATTATTTGCCTGTAGGCTTTAAGTTTGCTAGATTTATCTAACAAATACAAGATGCTTGGTGAAATTTGAATTTTGGATAATAAAACAAATAACTTTTCTGTGTAAGTTTTTCCCGTGCAACTTTCATGACACACTTACACTACAAAATCAGCCATCATTTATTTGAAACTCAAATTCAAATAAACAGTGGGCATCCTAGATTTTATCTAGCGATCCTGTTGGCTTACTTGTTCCCGTCCATGTCTCCCATAGACTGTAAGGTTTAGGAGAGCAGATACTCATCATTGCTCATCATTGTACCTCCAGTGTCTGTCCAGGGTTTAGCATCCTTTAGATACTTACTGAGTATTGGGTGAATGCCTAAAGGGATGAATGATATGAAGTGCCATTCACTAAGATTCAGAAAACTTAAAAGCAAGTGTCCTTGCCATTGGGGTTTGTACAAGTGCACCATCTTTATCTAATAAATAGACAGTCAAGTAAAATGGATAAATAAGGAGAGAATTTCTTTAAAAGAGAGAACCCAAGCAAATGATTCTTCTGGTACAATTAACTTTCAGTTTTTAATTCCCAGTTAGCACTTTTTCAAAGGCAGTTACTGCATACATCAAGTTAGGCATGTATTTTTAGGTGTCAGGCAGATTGCAGCTAATCCTTTCCACCAGGATCTGTAACTGAAGAAGAGGTTTGCACAGGACAGACAGGAGATGTTTCCAGGATGTACATGGAGAAGGCAGCACAAATTTTGAATCTTTATCATTACCTTGTACTTACTGAACTCCCTCCCACAAATGTTCTGCTCTATATTAGAAAAAGCAAAACAATCTAATCTTGTGAAGTTTTGTTAGCTTATGAAGAGCTAGTCTGAAGTGTACTCTGTATAAGGCTTAGTTAATAAACTGTGGAGCAGGGCTCACTTAGGTGAGTTACAGAAATTCATAAAACAAATGGTAGGAGAAAAATGCCTTAGAAAAGCAAATGGAAATGCATGTCTTCAATGCTGGGAACATTAATCTGGATCAGTCACAAAGGCCCACAAAGTTAGGTCCTTCCCTGTCACTTGAACATCTCATCAGTGTTCAACAAGGACGGGAGATGGGATCTGGGAGTCTGAGGTTCCAATTCCAAGGCACCTGTTAGCTGCATGCTCAACCTCTGCCTCAGTTCTCTGGCTCTTGAAGGGAAACAGGCACATCACACCGAGAACACTGACAGACACTTACCCAGTCCTGTGTAAGACCCTTTGCCTGACATGGGGACGTCAGATGGCTCCTGCTATGTCGCCACCACGGCCAGCCGTAGATTTGGAATGTGCTCTGTTCACAGGCGAAGTTTCTTCTGTCATCGCCACTGCTTTGCTTCCCGCTTCCCAGCGGAGCAATGAGCAGCCGCTAGATGACCAGGGAAAATCCTTCAGGAAAGGGAGCAGCTGCAGAGTTGAAAGCCAACACTCTCTACAGCTAGCGGACAAGTCCATAAGCCTGGTAATTACTTGATATATAACTGTGCATTATCAATTATGCTAATAATAATGCATTGAGTTTCTAGAAAAGAATCACCTCATGACTTCTAGATACAAACATTAAAAATGGTTTTGAAAGACAATGTTCATACACATTTGAAACAATCCAAAAATAAAAAAATTAATTAAATGACAAGGTATACAGTACAATTATACATCCTAGGAGACAACAGAAAGAGTTGAGCCCAATGAGACACTGTTTCCATGATTTGAATAGAGGAAGGTGTTTAGACTTAGCCTTAAAAGATAACCCTTGAATACATGGAAAGAAAGGTATTGTCGAGTAATAACAAAAAGGTTCAAAGATGATTATTACCTTAAATAGTAGAGGATTCTGTTGGTGGAAATTTTATTGCTTGGAGTTGATAGCCATCATGTTGAAGTAAAATGAAAGCAAAGTAAGAGGTCTTCGAATATCTTCTTCTTCCCAGTCTTTCTAAATACCTTTCCCAATTATAGCTCTTTTAAATATTCTGTAGGTTTCATTCATTGACTCTTAGGAAATTTTTCTCTAAATTTCTATGAGTGGAAATTTTTGTTAAGGTCCTAAAAAATCATAACTTTCAGACTCTAACTATTCAAACTATTGTAACACTTTGCCTAGAATAACTTAAATTTTATCAATTTAGATACAATTTTGGACTTATTTTCCAATTCCTTAATTCCTGTCTCATGAAAAGTTCTTTTTTCTTTAAGAGAAAATTGAAATACAACATTAGCTAGTTTTAGGTATACAACATAGTGATTTGACATTTGTATACATTGCAAAATGATCACCATAACATATCTTGTTCCATCTGTCACCTTATAAAATTATTGACTATATTTCCCATGCTGTACATTACGTTTCCATGACTTATCTTATAACTGGAAGTTTGTGCTTCTTAATCCCCTTCACCCATTTGGCCCCAGGGACCTCTCTGTATCTATGATTCTGGGTTTTGAGAAATCTGTTTTTTCAGGTCATATATCCTGCCGTTAAATAAAATTATGATAGAGTCAGACATACTTTGGTTCAAATCTAAAGACGTGACCATTAGTAAGTTACTTGATCTTTTAGAGCCTCAGTTTTATTATCTGTTAAAAAAAGGATATTTTCACATATCTGACAGGGTTTGTGTGAAGTTTAGATATAACACATGTAAAACCCCTGATGTAGGACATATTTAGTGAGTTCTCAAAAGTTAAGAACTAGAACAGGACTCAAAATGGGAGCTGTTAGCACCTCTACCAGAATCATCATGTTTGACATAGAAAGATAAATGGAAAGCAATATGGTTACAAGTCCACCTTGTGGAGCAGGAATGCAAATCTGGGTTCTGGCACTTGCCGGCTGGCTTTGGGTATGTTTCTTTTTCTCTCTTTGTCTAAAGTGGAGAAGATAGTAACACTTGCCTCATAGAATTGTTTTGTGGATGAAGTGAGTTGATGTTATAAAGAACTTAGTACCATGCCTGGCAAGTGGTAAGTATTTTATGTATGTTAACGGTGACTACCTTCTAGAAATTTGAGTGCCAAAGTTAAAAACATGGAAGGTTGTGTAAAGCAATTGTTTAGGGACAAATATTTAAAGACATCTTATTTTGACCCCTCCAAACTTGAGTTAGGGATAAATAGCCTATTGCTAAATTGCTGTTTCGACAAAGCTAACTTTAAATCCCTTCTCTACTGTTGCCAACTTTAGTTGTTCCTCCTATGTCATTGGAGGAGCATCAACAATGGCCCCTGCAAGGAAGACAACTGAGAAGCGGCATAACCCTGTGGAGAGCATCTGCAGAAAAATCAGAGCCATCCAAAAGAGAGAAGAGCTTTCAAATCCAATTCAACAGATTATCAAATACCAATCCAGCAGTTTCAGTAGTCCCCAGACTAACACCAGGAAAGATTTTGAGGAGGTACTGAAGAAAATGACTGCACCCAACACTCACTTGTCAGGCTCTGAGAAGGATGATGCCTTCATTTCATCTCAAACCATGTCTCCAAGGACCCCATCCATCTCTCATCTCAGCTCCCCTGAGAAAGCAACACACTCTGTTATCCTCACAAGTTCTGAAAACATCTCAAGGCCAAGATCACAGAGCTTCCAGAATTATATATCATTGGTATCACAGGTCAGTAAGGGGGAACACTTCTCTAACAAGGATTTGAATAATCATTGTAATGAAAATCATTTTAGTACTTTAACACTTGACTTTGATACCAGCTCTGATCAAAGCTCTAAAATTTTTACTCCTCAGGATTCAGTGGTGAAAAAATGCTCTCTGAATGAAGATGGTAAATATTCATCTTTCAATGTTCTTTCAATAAAGCAATATTTAAGTTTGGATGGAAGCATCCATTGTTCCCTTTTTAAGTATTTTTTTTAGTCTTAAAAGAAAATTTTATTAGTAAAATGTAAGTATTTTCTATGATTTCAACTAAAAACCTGATAGAAATTCTGGATTGTATTTATAAACATGATTATTGGCATATCTACTGATCTGAAAATAAACCTTCTCCAGGGTAAATTAGAATGTTATGATGTGAATACATAGGTAGAGGGGAGTTAAAATTCATATAGTTCCCAGATGCCTTGCTAAAAACTATCATTTTAGCAATTTTATTTGTGTGTGTATGGGAGAGAGTAAAACATGTAAGAGAGTGTGGATTGCAAGTAGAACCAAGAAGTCAAGCAAGGGGAGCATGTAAATTTTGCAGGCGAATTTCAATTGAAATTTTGGGAACTCTCTAGGATTGCTTACAGAGTCCCATATATGATATGCACTGAGAGACAAAATGCTGCAAAATGATACACATTCTTTATAGCTAAATTTCTGCTTTCCCCCAATTTTTCTGTTTGCAGTGCTACTTGCTTTCTCATAGAGTGCATTTAATATTACAGGGCAAAAACAGCTCTCTTCCCTCTCCTTCAGCTCTCCTTTTTTCCAACTTTCATAAAACCTTAAAGGAAATAAAATGATTAGCAGACCTTTCAAGACCACTTTTTTTGTTTGCTCTATTTAAGTAACCAGTATTGTATGCTGCTGTTTATTTAAATGTTTTCTTTGTTACAATTAAAACAAAAACATAGTTCATCACTGTAGCAGAGAAACGCATTTCAGAATTTGCAAACTTTTCCTTCTAACAGGATGGAAACCAGGAACTGATGGCGCCAAGAGAGCTGTGACCTACAGCCGTGCCAGGGCCCGGGAGGGGCAGATCTTCACCAGTATTTTTCATGCATGTGACACAAAAGGCAGAGGTGAGCTGAGGACTGACTGTTCCAATGTTTGTAGTATTCATCAAGTCACTGTCCTTTCTACTGTGAGAGAAAGGGAAATGGCTTGTCTGTGCTGCTCTGCAGACCTGTGTCCACACACGTGGTGGGTGCAACCTAATTTGGGAGTAAAGATGGCTATCTAGGTGTTGGTTATTTCTTAATCATTTCTTTGTAGCTTTTTTGCATGTTTTACCAGCATCTTAAATCACTTTATTGAGCTTATCAATGGATTCATGAGCTCTAATCATGGATTGGAACTACTGACATGGTATAAGTGTTGCCACGGTAGAAATAGATACTCAAAATGCATTTAGCTCAAAACTTTTCATTTTATATTTTCACTTCTGCTTTTTTTAGAGATGTGTTCCTCTTAAAATTTCCGCAAGTAATTTTAGTATGTAAATGATTCATACTCATTGTAATAAAATTAATAGTGTATAGATAAGCAAAAGAAAAAGAGAAAACCAGTAAGTAATCCTGTTGCTAGTGATTTGTTTTATAACCTTCAACAATTTCCTCTGTCAATATGGTTTTGTTTTATTTGGAACACATATATATACATAAAATATGCATATTATATATAATTTTAGAACAATTTAAACATATATAGAAGTATAGTGAATAGTATGCTGAATTCATGTGTGTATGTGTGTGTGTGTGTGTGTGTGTGTGTGAGAGAGAGAGAGAGAGAGAGAGAGAGAGAGATAACCAATTATGTCTCATTTTTAACCCCACCAAAACATTTTCCTCTCCATTCTGGATTATTTTGAGAACAATCCAAAACATTACAATATTTCATCTGCAAATATTTAAGTATATATTTCTAAAAGATAGAGTGACTTCAGACACAACTACCATGTTATTATGACTAAAAATTTAACATGATTTCTTTATATCAAATATTTTTGTCAGTACTCAACAGTTCTCATTTGTGTGAGAAATTTATTTTTTATTAAATAGTTTCATTGTTCAAATCAATATTCCAAGAAAGGTTTGTTCATAGTAATTAGTTATCTGGCTTATATCTATGCTCACTTTCCATTGCTTGTTTTTATTTTATTTTAAGTTATTTGTTAACAAAACTAGTTCTTTTATCTCAGAGTTTGTTCCAGTCTGAATTTTGGTGATGGTGTGACTATAAGAACACAACCAGTTTTTCTGTCCCCTATATTTGGTAAAACTTTGTTTTTTTTAGGTTTTTTTGGCAAGTATTCTACATAGATGTGTTATGTAGTTTTATCAGAAGGCAAAAGTATTGATGATGATGATGATGGAGGCTTAAATTTCATCTTTCACTGGGTGTTGCAAATGGTGATGTGCAATCATTCCTTTCTAATTTATGAGCTGTAATAATTTATAAGAGAAGTTCTGGTCTGCTTTGTCAAATATTTGGCTGCCTTGAGTCTTGTTTCCCAAAGGAGAGGCAGGATAAAAGCTTGACTGTGTTTCTGATCACCTGAGAGTAAGTTGTGGCTTTCTCACCTCTCACCACATCAGTGTGTATGTCCTATAAACAAGGACACTTGTTTGCATGACCACAGAACAATGATCAAAGTTCTACATTCAAATTTTGTCAATTGCCCCAATAATGTACTGTGTAGCCTTTTTGTTTCCTGGCCCAGGATTCAACTTAGAATCACTTGTTATATTTAGGTGTCACATCTCTTTAATCTCCTTCCATCTGAAACAGTTGCTCAAATTCCTTGTCTTCTATAACCTTGAAATTTTTGAAGAGTATAGGACAATTACTTTGTAGAATGCCTGATGTTTCTTATTGATTATTCAGGGTATACATTTTTGCAGATGCTACAGAGTGATGCTGTGTTCATTTCAGTACCATGTATCAGGATTTTTAACTTTACTTGATTAGTGTGGCGGTGTTTTTTGTGGAAATTAGGCTCTTTCACAAGATTACAAGGAAAGCGCTCCAAGGACCCATTCACGGGACATTGTGGTGTGGCGTGGTTTATTTGAATGGGTTTCCAATGTACGCTGCCCCTGTGTCCCATCTCTGTTGGTCCTACCATAGAAAAAGTCCAATCATTTCCTCAGCAAGGTGAAGACAAAAGCCAGTGTCCAGAGTTTCTGCTTCATGTTAAAGCTTAGTGCTTTTGGAGCCCACGCAGTCTGCTGAGGGCCCTGGTAGCTGCTAGACCCGCATGGCTGTGTGTTCCCGGGAGAGAGAATACACAAACAAATGGGGTGAGTATATTACCAGATGGGTGTGGAGAGAGAGAGACAGAGAGAGAAAGGGATACAAAGTGAAAGTGAAAGCATTTCTTTGTTCCCCTGGAATTATATTAGTTTAGGTTTGGGACACAACCAGATGCTTTTTCAAAAGAACAAACTCCACTTCCCAAGCTTTAATGGGCTTTTGATAGGTTTACGCCCCCTAGTTAGACTGACTGGGTTTTTTTATATTTTTATTTTTTTTTTTACCAAGCACCTCCCCCTGTGCCCCCCAACAATCTGACATTGGAGCGGGGAAGGGAGGAGTATGGATCTCCTTGGTCGAGCAGTGCTGTGCTCCCCTGGGGTGTGGAGCTGTAGTCTCCTGGTGAAGCAGACTGGCTCATGCTCCCCAGTGTATTAAAGCTCAGTGTCCAATTCCCTTCGCTTCCACTCTAGTAAATTAATTAATTGACTCTAAGGAATAAAAATCATCTCTTTAAATAATTGGATTAATATTTTTTCCCTTCCCAATGTTTTATATCACTGCCAAATGACATTTGCCATTAAATTAATAATCTCTTTAAAATTTTCTTTACATCTCCTCTTAATTACAAAACTTTTAAAAAAGATTTTATTAATTTATTTTTATTTTTTTAAGATTCTACTTATTTATTTTCAGAGGAGAAGGAAGAGAGAAAGAGAGAGAGAAACATCAATGTGTGGTTACCTCTCACCCACCCCCTACTGGGGACCGGGCCCACAACCCAGGCATACGCGCTGACCAGGAATTGAATTGGCGATCCTTTGGTTTGCAGGCTGGCATTTAATCTATTGAGCCACACCAGCCAGGGAAAGACTTTTTAAAAAATATTTATATCATGTTCTACATTTATGTACTTGAGGGAAGGATCTTCACTCTTTCCTCCCTTGTCAACCTTCTACTCATTTCCTCCCTCCCCCGAGGAGCCCTCCCCTCAAGGCAGATGGCGCAAGGCAGCCCTTAGAAGTAAAAGAGATGTCTGAAAGCAGACTGATGTGTCAATTAGTAGCTTAGTCTGGGTGATTTTAATTTCTGAACGTGAGTAGGACCAACTGTACCTAAGAATGACCTCCAACCCTGATTCTTCTCCCCGCTAAAAAATCAGAGTGTTTACCTGACACTGAAAATTCCCCCGGGAGAGGAAAAATTTTATTGAACGCTTTTTAAGGAAAGAATGAGAGATGAAACTAAAGTAACATTTTGATCATTTGCCACAATTATTGATTACACGTATCATCCAAATTTAAACCTCACAACAACTCTGTAAGGCAGGTATCATTCCCATTTCATAGATAAGGAAACAGGCTGAAAGAGACTAATTTTCCCAGATTCACTCAGCGGGTAATTCTGATTCCAGAGCCAAGATCTGATACAAGTTCCAAACTCCAGCCCAAGGCCAGTGCTCTTGCCGCTCTACCACACCAACTCAGCGGGACTGCAAGGGCTCCCAGGACCCAAGGACCCTGAGAGATGAAGCCCCTCACTTATAAAAAATAATCTTAACCCATCTTTCAAAACTAATTTGCCTTTTTTCTTCCTCAGGCTCAGTAAGAATTGCCAAAGTAATAGATTACCTGAGACAAACAACTAGTCAAGATTCTGAAGACAGTGACTTTGAGCAGCTGTGGAACATGCTTGGTCCTGAAAGGAGAGACGTGCCTGTGGATCTGGAAACTTTCCATGCCATCATGAAAGAATGGATGGCTTGCTGCAGAAACAAATGGTAATCAGCAGGAAGCGTTTTCAGGTTGTTTTAACAATTGATTACAATGAATATTAATCACTGTTTTCTTTGTTGATGGAAATATTTTGCTCTGTGCTTCTCACACTTTAGCATGCACTGCAATCACCTGAACAATATTTTACCTGATTGGTGGTAAATACCTCCCCTCCCCCAGTCCCTGCCATGATTCAGTAGGTCTGGGATGAAGCCTGATAATTTGCATTTCTAACATGTTTTCCAGGTGATGGTGGTGATGGGCACATTTTGAGAACCTGTTATGGTAATTATGCTAATTTTGATAACATTCACTTATTGTGATTAGGGGCAGCACATGTTCTCACAAAGAACTGAGCTGGCATAGGAGTCAAGCAAATCATTGATACTGAGCACTGAATTGCCACGTGCCCTTAGACTCAGAGGGGACACCCTTTTGAGGGAATAGGGATGTTCAGGTAGTGAGTGCGATACAGAAGCATCAAATGTAGGGAAACTAAAGGGGAAAGGAAAAATATAGTGGGATAGAAAACAATTATGAAGGAGAATGGCACCACGACATCAGGTGCCCCGGTGGACACTGCGGAAGAGCCACCTTCTGTCATAGGAAGCCAGATTCCTGTGGCTTTTACTCAGCCATCAGTCTCTAGCTATTAACTAAATAGTTACTAGACATTTCCTTAAAGAGAACTTCAAGCCCAAAGTGTGGCAAAACTTGCTAGATTTCATGTAGGATTAGGATGTATAGGTGACTTAAGATGACGGAAATGTTGTTTGACATAATGAGTTAATTGTGAAAGCAAGATAAATATATAAACATATCTAATCTTATGAGTAATCGAAGAAATGCAAATACAGACAACATACCATTTTTGCCCTTTGGTTTAGCAGAGTTTTAAAAGAATCACTCTATCCCATGTTGTTAGGGCAGGTGCAGAATTAAGCGCCCTCTCATGTACTGTTGGTAGCAGTGCAGGTTGGTACAGTTTTTTTCATGGGCAATTTAGGAATGTACTAAACCCTTAAAAATATGCTAGTAATATTTTTACTAGCTAGTAATGTAACTTTAAGGAAAATAACCAATCATGTATTCTAATATATGTGTAGAATGCTGTGTATAATAGTGATAAAGATAAGCAACATAAATATTTAAAAATAGAGGTTTGGACAAGTAAATCATAGTACTTACATACAGTAGAATCCTATATAGTCACTTAAAATTATAATTAGATAAATATTTGACAAGAGAAATATTCATATGTATTTCAAATAATATGCCATTAATCAAGGGCATATTTGTAAAAAAAAATACATAGATAAAAGTTGGAGAGAGTGAATTCCCACACTATTATCTTTTGCATGATGATTTTAACTTTTTTCTTAAGAGTTTTCTCATTCTCTAAAATATTTAAATTTGATTATACAATAAAAATATCAATAATCCATTTATAAAATGAGTGAGGGCAAAGAAAAACTCTAGTTTGTATAACAAATGCATAGGAAAAGAAAAAATATGGGAGATATAAGTACAAAATATAAGGAAAAAACTCAGAAATGCTGATGGTGTGTAGTAAGGAATACTAAGAATGCTGTATGAATTATTCTGCTTAGCCACCTTTTGATAGATATTTCACACTGAAACACAATGAGGTGTAAGTAGAAATTTGGAGAATTTTGTGACTGCTCCACAGAGACAGTGAAAGGATTTGACATTTAGATTACGGTAGGTAACAAAACTTAAATTATAATGTAAGCACTCCTAAAAAAAATAATTGAAATTTTAATTTGTTTATTTGGGGGTGTGGGCTAGAGTTTGTGTACTGAACAGTCTTCCCCACTTTTCAAGAGTAAAATGCTCACTGTACAATTAGTCTAGGTTCAACCTGGTTCTCCATGAGAAAGAGAAAATAACACCATCAATGTATCTCAAAATATTAGGTGTTTATGCTTTTTCCTTCCCCATCTTTTTTAAGTCCTATGGTCTTGCTGCCTCCGTAAGTGTCAATTTATCACTCCATCTATCTCAATTTCCTAATCCATTGAGACCCCCTGTCCCCTAATCCTAGCTGCTGGACGTCATCAACCTATTTATGCACGCGCATTTTCTTTTTCATGTTAAATTAAGAGGTTAGGGAAGGTGGGAGGAATTAATGCTTTACATTTCTTTTCTATTACACTATCTAAGCACAGTGTGGGGCTCCAAAAAGTTGCTGAATGAATAGATGGTTCTAAAATCCAGAAACAAACACCAGAATGGGAAAGTATACAACATACCTGAAAAGTTAGTTGTGCTTTGGTCTGGCAAAGAAACCTAGCTCACTGGTTTTGTTTTTTGACTACAGGGAAGGAGTGAATAGTGGATCAGGAAGCTGTGTCGATGCTTCTGTTTTTGGACAGGACAGCTTAAAATCAGGGGGAGCAAGTATGTATGTGTTTCCTTGCAGTTGCTCTGCCACTTTCTTGTGCTTTGGAGAAGTGGATTTTTCATAAAACTCTCTTGTATGTGTTTCAGTTAATATGACCACAGAGATAACAGAATCTGTATCAAGGAGCTTCGAGGCTTTGGCTGGAGACATGTCTAAAGGAGTCTTGTAAGCATTCTTAGTTATAATGCTTTCTCAGGTTCCCCAAATTTTATTATTTATTTTATTTATATATTTTACTTATGATAAAGTCACTTCGCTCTTTTTCTGTGGTAGAGCTAATAACATAATTTATTTTTAATGCTTAACCATTCTATCTGAATTGCATTAGAACTAGTTCTACTAGGAACACAAATTGTGTAAGACTAGTATTAAACAAATTAACATTTTCTCACTCACGAAACCCTTCTCCTTCATGATATCATGTGTTTTCCATGGAAAACAAGTTCCATTTGAAGTAGAGTTGTGACACTGACCTTAAACTTTTTTAGGATTTATTTTTAAAGCACTGCTTTAATAAACATTTTTAAAGGAAAAAGCTTTGTTTCCCCCTAAATGTGTGAGTTTTAGGTATTAGGGTGAGGTGATTCTCTCTCTCTTATAGTTTGTCTTTGCCACCTTGGATTTCCTCATGCAAGGCGGTGGTTTAAAAATCACGTACCCAATCTGTGCAAAGAACTGGGACATGATGGCAAAAAGCAGGAGGAGCCTGGGACTTCACGAAACATGCCATCGAGGCTTTCCCAGGATTTATGACCTAATGTTGGTGAAACAGATATTAACATGCTGTAGAAAATATTAGGAAACAGGAATACGAATCGAGAGCTACAGATACAAGACTCTAAAAACTGTTTTCTAGTTACAGGCCCATTAAAACCTGCCAAGATCCCTTCACAAAGGGAATAATGTATCAATTTATTTCAGGATCTCCCATAACCCAGGGAGAAATAGGGACTCTTCCAAGTAGATGGAGACAAATGTTGGGAACAAAGTGGGAAGGAATAAATAAAAGCAGTGCAAGTTGACTTTACAGCTGGCAGATGATGAATACCTAGCATTTTTGGACCAATCCCCGAAGCTCTTATAACAAATGCTTGAATAGGTGTTTATTGTATAAATAAACTACATTTGTGAGGATGGAAGAGAGTAAAGTAGAAAATCTTGCAGGAATGGTTCAACCTTTTTGGTCTTAACTGTATGTCTTACTTTGATTGGAAGGGATTAGACATGCTGAAGATTATTTATTCTCACTCCTTATTTCATTTGCAGAGAGGTGTCTGATTTGATTACCTATGTAGCAGACCTGCATTTCAACAAGCAGAAATTGGAGAAGGAAAATAGTAAGTTTAAGTTGGCAATGGAAGCCTTGGAAGAAGCTAACAGCCAATTATCAGAGGACTGTACTGAATTGCACCTTCAGATAAAAAGGTGAGCCATTGTGAGGTACTGCGTGTTGGGAACTTTGAGTTATTGTTTTTTGTTTGTTTGTTTGTTTACTTTAAAAACAATTTTATTGTTTTTTATTGAGATAATTTACATACATAGAGTTTACTCTCTTAAAGAGTACAGTTCAGGGTCTTTTGATATATTCACAGGGTTGTGCAACAATCATTATGATCTAATTCCATAACATTTTTATTCCTCCAAAAAGAAACCCCATACCAATTAGCAGTCACTCCTTGTTTCCCCCTCTCCTCTGTAAACTTGCAATGACTAATCTATTTTCTATCTCTACGGGTTTGCTTATTCTAGTCATTTCATAAAAACAGAACCATCCAATATGTGCCCTTTGTGTCTGGCTTCTTTTACTTAGCGTAATGTTTTAAGGCTCATTCATATTGTAGCTATATCACTATTTCATTCCTTTCTCTGGCTGAAGAACAGTTTTTGGATAGATGCCATTTTGTTTATCCATTCTTCAGAGGATGAACTTTGGGGTTATTTTGGCTCTTACGAATATTGCTACTATGAACTTTATGTACTGGTTTTTGTATGGACGTGGTTTTAGTTCTTTTTGGTTTATACCTAGGAGTGGAATTGCTGCATAACCTATATTTAGCATTTTGAGGAGCTGCTCAACTGTTCTCCAAAGCAGCTGTACCATTTTATATCTCCACAAGCAGAGTTTGTCAGTTCTTTTCTAGCAATGATGTTCTTTGTGTCATTCAAGGTCCTGTTCTCTATATAAGACCACTTTACCTAAGGGCTGAGTGTGGACCTAGCCAAAGCAGCTCTGTAGTTTGGTAGAACTCTTACTCTATGCTAATTCCCATGCTAAGTATTATGAGAGCTTTATTGATGAGTCAGATTTAAAATGTGCCATCAGGGTACCTACACCCTAGAAGGATGATAAATTCCTGACCTTAGCTTAAGAAGGAAAGGACTAAAGGACCTAAGAGACATACCAAATAAAGTATCAAACACTAGTCAAGTGGTTTTCAGGGAGACACTTGAGCATCCCCCCAAAAAAAAACAACCACACAAAGGTTCTCACAAAGTCTGTATTTAAGATGTAGGTGCTAATGTTCTGAGGAGAGAAGTTTTAAGTTCATTTGATAAGATGGTAAAGCATTCTCACCATGGACTCTTATCCTTGTAATTTTTTGACCAGCCAGTCCAGCCTTCAAATCAATGTATAAAATAAAAAATTGTGTTTACCTCAAGCTTTTTGTATTCCACAATTGGCTTATTTATTATTTATTTTAAATGTCATAATTCAAAGTTTCTTTAAAAAAAAAACTATGCCTTGGATAGATGTGCTAGTCAGGACTTTAGGTTGCAAGCACCAGAAGCTGACTCTGGTTAACTTAAGCAGTGATGAAATGTATTAGAAGAGAACTGGGTTACTCACAGAAGGACTGAAAGGCTAGAGAATCTAGGTGCGCAGCCACAATGCTAATGTCTACAAAATTAAGCCTTTTGTCCTTCTCTTCCTCTAATCTTCAGAAAGAGCCTCTATTCTCTCTGGGTGTTATTCAATAAATATTTGTGGGATTGCATTAACTAATATTACATCTTATTAGTAGAAGAAAAGAACTGTGAGACTCAGCCAATGAGGATTTCAAAGGGACTCCCCAAGCCTTTATTTTCAGAAATCTGGGTTTTTTTCCCTTCTATCCTTTTTTCCCCCACCACACTCCCCCCAAATCCCTTCCTTTTCCAAGGACTATGAAAGATAGTGGGTATATTTTTACTATTGTTGGCATTTGGTTCATATTTTCAGAGGTTTTCAATGTGTGCCCAAAAATAATCCTTGGCTTTTCTTAGTATATTTGGCAGTTATATTTGAGGTTTTGCTCATTGCTTTCTTCCCCACCCCCACCTCCACAGTGCCCACCAGGCTATTATGAGAACAAATCTGTTAAAAGAAGAGCTAGAGGAACTGAAAACTAGTATGAATGCTTCAGAAGAGCAGAAGACCACAATTGTAGCCCAGAACAAACAATTAGTAAGTCATCCAAGTACCTTGAAACCTCAAGAGGATTTATTTGGGGAAATAAAATCAGAAGTCAATAGGCTGTAAATAAATGAATGATAGTAACACCTTAGAAAAATTAAGGCAGAAAAAAACCCTGTGTTTTCCTTTTGAACCAAGATTAAAACTCTTTACAAATTGCTTGGTCATAATCATAATGGTTTGTGAATAACTAGAAGATCTCTGGAGTGCGTCCTTAAGTTGATAGGCAAATTCATAAATAGCTGATACTAAAAACCACTTAAATTTTCTAGAAAAGAATGTCTGTCAAACTTTCAACTTTTTCTCAGTTTAAAAAAATTGGTTTTCTCAATACTTCCAGATTACTGAAAAGTTTCATAAATCAATTCTTACACTAGAGAAGTGCATGCTTATAATTTTTAGAGCAAATTGCAATGTAGACTGAGCTTTAACTCAGCCAACAGAGAAGTATATAATCATCCAGCAGTGTTCTACCATTGTTAACAATGGTGGGTCAGCTGAAAGTCATTCAGACTAATTTATTTTTAGGTCCATAATTCACCAAGAGACTTGAGCTCCAGGCCTGTGTCAGTCACTCATGACCTCCCACAACCAGCACAGCTTAACTTAGCTCTTACCTCAATAATAAAATGTGGAGGCCAGACTCATTGAATGTCAGGTGACTCTGCAAGTCTATATGAACGCACCACAGGAAATACTTACTTTGGGACCAGTGAGGAACTTTTATGTGGAAGCAATGTAGAGAAATGGTAAAGAGCCCATGCTTGAAAGTCAGATGGCCAGCAATCAATAAAGTCCTTAACTTCTAGGGCTGTGTAACTTGAGGCAAACCACATAACCTCTTTAAGCCTCGGCATCCTCGGACCCAAGGGCAGGAAAGGTTGTATGAGTTCACATATGTAAAGCAGCCAATGTCCTCATTCCCCCTAGGCCTGGATAATGTTAGCTATTATTAAAAGTGCAGAGTCTTAGATGTACAATCACAATTCTCTGCATTTTATAGTGTTTTAAATTTTAGAAGAATTTTTAATATTTCATTTCTTTGGTCATCATAGAAATTCTGTGAGGTAGAAACAGAACTAGCTAAAGTAATAGAATTATAGGTAAAGTCCAGAGATGTTTTGATTATTCAATGTCAGTTGTCTAATAAATGTTAAAGCTAGAATTGAACTCAAGTCTTCTGATTCCAATTACATAGGGTGTGTGTTCCTTTATTCTTGTACCAATGACATGCAAGTCTGACATGTTTTCCCTTTTTACTTTTACATTATAAAGGTAATGCCTATTTACTCTATAAAAATGAAGAAATGCATATTAACAAAAAAAAAATCCACAAAATTCTTATCCTACCACATCCACAAGGTTTATTGTTAACATTTTGGCATATACTTTGTCCTGGAATATTTTTTTCTTTTGATCGTTCTGAATTTGGGAATTTAACAGCTTCAAGTAGAAGGCTAGATATCTGTGACTTCAGAGTGATGTGCTGGCTGGTGTGTCTCAGCGGACAGAGCGCCCGCCTACAGACCAAAATGTCGCCAGTGTGATTCCCAGTCAGGGCACAAGCCTGGATTGCAGGCCAGGTTTCCCAGTAGGGGGCGCTTGAGAGGCAACCGCACATTGATGTTTCATTTCCTCTCTTTCTCCCTCCCTTACTCTCTAAAAAAATAAATAAAAATCTTTTTTAAAAAGTGCTGTTTAAATAGGTGAGTTCACACCACCTGTCATTGGTAGATGGCAGTAAGTAGCAGGAAAAGAAGCCAGGCTGTTCCATTTTTGTTTTTCATCTTTCCCTTTCTACTGTCATAGTTAGATTGAGTCAAGGAGAACAGTGACTTCTCACAGATCCCAAGAAACTGGAAGCCAAAAACATTATACCATATCGGAAATATTTTCAAACAAAATTTATTTGTGATAGGTCAGTGCCATATTTAAAGTTAATAAAAGGAAAGAATGTTGATAGTCTTGAAAGTAAACATGTGGTATTTCATAAACTTCTCAACTACTTTTAACTATCTTTCTTTTAATAAATCAGGAGACAGAAAACCGGGCTCTGATTCTTAAGATTCGGAATCTCCAAGAGGAGGTATGTTGAAATTATTAAATATGGGCACAGATAAACATATGGAAATCATACAATCATGGGTCCTGACCCTGGGTTAAGTAGAAATTATGTAAGTATTCAGACTCCTCTGGGCCAAAAACCAGGTTGTTTTGTGACAAAGAACGGATAAGGTTTTCATGTCCAGACAGAAGTACGCTATTACTTTGTATATATCCATGGAAGAAATAGGATTTTAAAAATTCAGATTTCAGATGAAGTGAAATTAAGCTATCTAAAAACTATACAAATCAAAAAAAAGAAAGTGTAGACATTATCTAATAATTTTCTGTTATTACCTAGTATCTCGAGTCTAAGACTCAGATCTTAAATTCATTCAAAGTCTGACCATGGAAAAACCATTTATCTTTTTTGAGTTAATTTTATCTATTCCCTCAGTTATTTTAGAGATTAAGTAATGCATGTAGACCCATTTGTTTAACCATGGTGTACCTGATAGATTAGGAAATATTAGTAAAATCTCTAAAAATAAATAATTCTATGCAATATATATAGTTTTTAAGCAACAAAATTAAATCATTGAAAGAACAGATAAAGTTACTATTTTGGAGGGGAATTCTGTATAGACATCTTTTGAATGTTAAGTGTCATGTACATTTTTTATTTGGGCTTTATGTAAGTTCATCAGAGGTATTTATTAAGCTGTGGTGAACAATCTGGAGATTTATCCAAAATATGAGTCAAGTGGGCATTAAAAAAATTTCATAGTGAGTTGGAAAGGAATGATTAAAAGTTGGGAAGAAACCCTACACTCGATTCAGATATATGAAAGTCAGTTTTCATAAAACTAGCCTTTACAATTAAGCTCTCAATGTAAGATGTCTTTCTCCTCATATACTAAGATGATTGACTAACATCAAAGAATTGTACCAAACCAGTTTAGAATTAAGATGGAAGAAAGGAGATTTAGAATGCTTCATCATGACACAGCACATACAAGTGTCCCTGCTAGCTAAGATTCCGTTAGGAGGCCAAAATCTGATGCATTGTGCAGAGTGAAAAACAGCACAGTGATTTGGGTAGTTATTTACATTCATTCATTCATTCGACACATATTCATTGGGAGACCTCTACGTGCCGGGCACTATTCTAGATGCTGAGAAGACCAACTTAAAAGCAAAAGAGCCCATGTGAAGCTAGCATGCTAGATGGTGATTAGTGCTGTGGAGAAAAGAAGAGTGAACACAGTATTGTGGGGGAGTGCAATCTAAACTAGGGTGGTTAGGATAAAAGTAGCACTGTGAAATTAATCATTCGGTTAAAACTTAGAAAGGAGGTTTATCTGTGGAAAAGCATTCTAGGCAGGGGAAACGGCAAGCTCAAAGACCTTAGGCAATAGCCTGCCTGCTATTTTTGAGGGATAGCAAGGCCATTGTGGCTCGAGCAAAGGGAACAGATAGCAAGAAGTTTGGCAGAGAACTGCCAGAAGCCAGGCCCACAGCGTCCTATGTGGGCACTGTATGGACTCCAGCTGTTTACACTGAGTGGGGTGGAAGCTGGGAGACGATTTAGGAGGCCCTTGTAATAATCTAGGCAAAAGCCGATGGAGGCTTAGACTGAAGCAATTAGCAATAGTGGTAGAAAGAAATGTGCAAATCAGCAAATGCTTTATAATATATCCAAAGGTATTTATCTTTTGGTTGTTTTTAATGTCTCAGTCACATACACAGAAAAGTTATCAATAGAGAGCAAGGATTTTGGAAGAGGTATTGGAAGTTCAAGGAGAGAGAAGGGATAAAATAAGCAAGGGGTTCATAAACTTTCTGTAAAGGACCTGAGGGTAAATATTTTTAGGGTTGCCTGGCTAAAAAGCATTTGCCACATCCACTCACTTCTGCAATTGTAGTGTGAAAGGAGGCAGAGGCAACGGAAAACAAATGAGCACAGCTGTGTCTAATAAAACTTTATTTACGAAACCAGAGGGTCAGCTAGAGCTGGCCTGTGCAGGTGGGGTAGGGAAGTTGGCGTAGTTTGCAAATCCCTGATTTAGGCAAATGGCCTGATGAATGGACTAGGATTATATGATATAATCACCAGTAAACATTGAGGTTAAAGTTTATGAATGTAACATGTGAGCGGTTGGTTCATTTTTTTTTTCTTTAACAAGGTTTATGTGAAAGGGTGCCGGCGCAGAGTGAAAGGCAAGCTGAAATTAAGCAAATACTAAGAAGCAGGGGAGAAGGAAGGAATTTGAGGGATGTGAAAAAGAATGGTTATAATGATTGACCAGAGAAAATTTTAACTCAGTAAAGAGGGAAGTGAGCTCATGAGAAAGTGGAAGAATAATGAGAAGGTGGACCTATCAGTGGATTGCAGGCTCCAGTGGGGATTAAAGCTTTGTTGTTGCTAAAAGACGTAATCTGGGAAGACAGGAAGTGGTGGTTGAAGAGTGAGAGGCTCGCAGTTACTCTGATAAAAGGGCCACAGTTGCTGGTAATGATAAGTGTGAGAGGTATGACTAGGGAGTGAACCAAAGTAATGAGGGACTTTTTAGATGGTCTTGTTAAATGGATCATGTTATTTTTGGACAAAATTTAAAGTTTTGTCCCTTAGGTTAAAGTAGACTATGATGTTGATGAAAATACTACCTAAAAAAAACTTTGTGATGTTCTTTTATTTTCTTATTTAGTTTTTGGTCTAAATCTAAGAATACTATCTTCTTTTGCATTAGAATATCAAGAATATTATGGATGTATATGCATTGGAAAAGAATATTGAGGAATTGTCTAAAACTGAGACAGAGCGCCAAGTAAGTAAGCACTTCGCAAATACTGATATTTTCTTCCATCAAGCTAACATTATTCTATAAAGGTGTATATGACTCATTGATGCAATAATCTTTTGTTATAAGTTTTAAAATTTGAACTTCTCAACATGTCTGAATTATATAAAGGGCAATTTCTATTTTTAATGTAACAGCTTTGTTAATAAATAATATATGTTAAATTCATACACTTAAAATGTACAAGTCAGTGTTTTTAAGTATGTTCAGAGTTCTGTAAATGTCACCAAAAACCACTTTTATTTTTTATTATTTTTCTTTTTAACTGAATTTATTGGGGTGATATTGGTTAATAAAACCATACAGGTTTCAAGTGTACAGCTCTGTAACCCATCATCTGCATACTGCATCGTGTGCTCGCCACCCAAAGTTAAGTCTCTTTCTGCCCCCATTTACCCCCTTTTTGCTCTTCTGCCCCCTCTCCCCATTTCCCTTTCCCACTGGTAAACACAATGCTGTTGTCTGTGTCTGTTGTTTTTTTTTTTTGTAAGTAGTTAGCCTCATAAAGTCTCAATTTTCTCATCTACGAAATGGACATATTTTCTACCTAACACACAAGCTTGTTGCAAACTCAAATGAGATGATTATGTGAAAATACCTTTAGAACTATAAAGGCACATCAATTATGTACAATTATGATGATTCTACCTCTGACTATGCAGATTATTTTTCCAGGTTTTCAATTCAATGAATATACATGTTTATCAGTTATGTTATATCTCTAATTCTGTGTCAACAAACTTGCTTTTGGTTTGAAGGAACTGATAATCCTTACTATTCACTTTGCTAAAAGAAATATTGAACACTTTTAAATTAAGTTTTTAAAGGAGGAAGAGTCTTCTATATGTCTACATGTAGCCTGTGCTCATGTCTCATCTAGAATTATATTTTCACCCAAAAAATAAAGGCTCTATATGTCCTCTTATTATACAAAGTGTGAATTGGTGGGAAAGGCACTTGGCTAAGAGCTGGAGACTCATATTCTAGGCTCAGTTCTGTCACTAACTGTGTGTGACATTGGGCAAGTCTCTGACTAGTGCTGAGTCTCAATTTCCTTTCTGATAAAGCGAGAGCAATGACTTCAGCCTCTAGGATTGTTGTGAGGCTTATGTGAAAGTTCTTTTAAAAGCAAAAACATATGCACATTAAAGGTGCTTCAGAAACATGTCTCCCCATTGGAATGATTTTGTGACATTGTCCTCTACCCAAGCGGTGTCCCAGCATTCTGAGTTAACTTTGTTTCTTTTCAGATGCAGTTACACATGTATGAGGACACTTGGCTTAATAAAGATGCAAGTTTGCAGAAGGTTGGTTCTGTCCCTTCCCATGAAGTCCTGTGAGGTTGTCTAGTTTTCTCCAAATTATAAAGGAGATGGACATTTGTGTAACTTTACCCCTATTAAAATATTTAATTCTAATATTTTGTCAAGAATATTAGACTTTATAAACTTCACAAAAAATATTCTTTTGAATCAGTATACTGACTTTTCCATCTGATATAAATTTTATCATGTCCTCTAAATTTTGGTGGCATTCATTAATCTATGCAACAAATATTAATGTGGCAATTAATCAGTCAATGGCCAGTACAATGATGCAGTTTTAATATATAATAACACAAATATGTGTGCAGTCATTCATTTTGGGGAGGAATAAGAAAAATTACTTTCTCCCTAGTTTAATTGATTGATTGATTAGATAGACAGATAGATAGATAGATAGATAGATATTGTATTTATCCTTGTATCCTATGATCACTGCCTATCTGGTAACAAAGGAATAGAGGTTCTGGTTATGGTGTCTTTAAGAGACACAGGAAGAACACAGCTCTAAGTTAATAAACTTCCGCATTTCAAGATAGGGAAGCAATATTTCTCTTCCTTTCCCTTCATGTTATGACATTTCAAAGAAGCCCTTGATGGCTTGTAGACATTGACCCAGATACCGATATTGTCAAAACTGCTCTCTTCACTGTCGGTATTATCTGTCTCTCTATAACAACATTCTTATAGTGGTGGCTGCTCACTGCCCCCGCAGCTCTAATCTTTCCACCACTTTGTGCTCGTGCCCAGTATTCATAAGGTATCAACTGGCCACTTTCCATGTTCTAGGCACCATGCTAGTCAAGGGGTCAAATTATAGGTCAGACACTGCCTGTAGCCCCTGGTCCTGCAGTACGAAATTGTGATTTTTAAGAGAGATATCATCTGAGCTGAATACGATTGGATACCTTAATAATTCATTAGTTGTTTGCAGGGAAAGACTGAATTTGTTGGCTTAAATGTATAATGATACTAAATATCATTTTGACTTGGTCTTAAGAATTACCTTTGAGGGTTTGATTCCATTGGACCAGGCAAACACAGAGCATGCTGTCACCAGTTAGATATGGCTGCCTCTCTGCCCCATACTTTTTGTGTAGTTTTAATCATAAAAACAGGCTGGTTCTGTTTTCATTATGAGATTGATAGATCTTATCTCATTAGGCATTTACAATTCTTCCATGGCTCAGAATGATAGTTACTTTAATAAACATGATTTTTGTGGATTAATGCATTTATTAGCTACTAATTTTCTCTTCTACTTTTCAGAAGGATTTAAGTATAGAAGAACTTAAGTCAACCATCATAGAATATGGAAGCATTCTAGAGGTATACCATAATAATCTCACAGCTTGCAAGGTGGAGTTGTTGAACATAAATGTAAATCCCCGCCCCTGGAGTGACATGTACAGCCTAATGTTGTATGTGATTCCAGAACTTACGAGAGGATAAAAACAAACTGGCTCGTGAGTTACAGCACTCGCAACAGGACCTTATCATGTAAGTACACAGCAGCCGCTCACCAGCCTTCTCTCACGCCCTTTGTCATGGGCCTACTGAGCTGGCTGCGGTTCTTCTATGTGCCACATTCTTTTCTTCAGTGCCTCTGTAAGTGGCATTTTCTCTAACAGAACTTTTTACAAGTTTTTCATGGCCTTCCATTACTTTTCTCTAACCTCAAGGTTAAAGTAACCCTTTTGAGTGCATGCATGGCATGCTGTTCTGACCTCTATTCTAACATACATGATCTTACTTAACAATCATTTGTTTCTGAATATGTGTAATATGCCGATCCAGGAGGCCACAGGAGCCACTCAGATGACAAGAGCAAAGCCAGCGGGGTGAGTGCACACACCCACATTATGAGAGTTACCAAATGGGGAAGTGCATTTCCCCAATGAATGCAAAGGGGGCTGCTCTGCCTAGCTCCAGCTAATTGTTAAATCAAGAATATATGAACCCCATGTGGCCACATCTTCTGTTGTTGTATTTTTTTTAAGAAAAGACAGAAATCTAGATTTTTAGTGAAATTTTCTAATTTTTAACTGTTGGCTCCAATTCATTAAAAAAAAAAAAGTGTGGTCTGCTTGTTTGCAACCACCTGGCATCGCTAGTCTGTGCAGCTCCTGGAGGGCAGATACTTTCCCTTGCCTCTGCGTTCCTAAGTGCTTTATACAGTCCTTGGTACATGCAAGCGCTTACTGACTGGTGATAAACATACTCTATTCTGGGTAACTGAAAACATAATGTTGGAGGCACACCTAACCAGATAGGATTGCTGTTCTTGTTTTCTCAAGGAATGAGATCCAATCAAATGTCAGTGGAGAGCATGAGAGTATCATCTCTAGAAGAGAAAAATCTTTACATTGTGAACTCATTCTTGCCCAGTCTGCAGAGGTAGGTAATTACCACCAAGTGGATTAAAAAATAATCACCATGGATGGTAACTTATTATTAAACGAAGGTTCATAGCTTGCTGAGAAGCCCTACTGACATTTTGAGGGAATCTGCTGATAGTGTATAGAATCCAAGTCTAAAGTCTCAACCTAGAAGAACAAACCTTTTTCAAGTTATGGCTGAAAACTATAGGGAGGGTCAAGCATGGGGTTGTAGAACTGTTCATTCAGTGAATCTGGATTTCAGAAATCTTTATATTCTTGTATTTTTCAGCATAAACTACCTGAATGTTCCCCAGCTTAGGGTCCTAAAGGTAGCAGTAGAGATCCATGAACTATTTCTCAGTGTATTCCCAATCCCCCGCAGTAAATGTATCAACCATAAATAAAGATGTTCAGAAACAACATGAAATTTAGGATGTAATTATACCAATCCAATCTAATGACAGTGATTATTACAATCTGAACAGAAATTAGCATTTGTATATGTTTTGGGTTAAGCTTAAAATGGCAAAATGAATTATTACTTTAAAAAATCTCAGTTCGTTAGGTAGACCCAATTCTTTACGACATGGTAGGAAACAATCAAAATGCTTCTTGGGGATGAAATGCTGGGACCCCCAAGCCCCATACTGTATTTCCACTCTTTTATACTTTCCAATTTTGTGCTGCTTATGTTTGGAAATGATTTATTAGCAAATTGCTTTCTTTTTGCCACTTCGATGGTCTCTCCATGTCTGTGGACAGTAGATATGTCAGAATGTCCTCCTGGTGACAGCTGTGATATGACCTTGGAAGGAGAGGAAGAATGTTTTTGGGCAAAATGCCGTTTGAACTTCTTCTGCCAAGGACGCAGGGGCAACATATGCTGCCTTCATCTGACGCCGTCTCAGGCAGCCTTGGACATTCTGCCGAGGGAGGGTTTTTCCTGACGTTCTGTTTCAAATACTCATCATTTTCCTGGGTTTTTGACACCGAGCCAAACTGCCAGACTCAATGACACGATGGCCAATCTGCCCTGGCAGTATGTTTTCCTCCGCAGGCCTCTGAGATAATGATAATGTCAGAATGCCAGGCTGCGAAATTCTGTACTTCTGAGCAGGGGGGTTCAACAGCTGGCAACATTCTGGCTCTGAGGTTCACCCCACTGGTGGGTGGAGAAGATTGCCTTTTAATTGGAATCTGGAAATAAGTACCCTCTGACCTTTTTCCAACAGAAGCAAGAAGAAAGTTAACTGTACTATTGGCATGTATCTAAAATATGACAAGAGACTTTGAGAAAAGTATAAGGAATATGCTTTGTGAAACATTATCTGAGACTGTCTTCTATAAATGGACGGGAAACAAAAGGAACCAGTCTGTTTTCAATGAGCTTTACTGAGTACCCCACGCCCAACATTTTTTTCTGTGATTTCCCTTACCTTTCCTTATGTTTTAAAATTAGAGCCATAGCAGTTTATATCACCCACAGGTAAATGTTACCTATGGGATAAATGGGATTTTCTTAAGAACAAATAAATGGTAAGTTGAAGCCACACTAGAGAGAAAATGTAAACAGTTTGGGGGGCTATAGGAGGATTCCATAAGACTATGATTTTCATAAAATAAAAAATAACAACTGTTCATTATTAGAATGACAAAGTTGTGAACATTTTGGTAATCGTTTCAGATCACCAAAATGGACTTGCAGTGCAGTTGCATCAGCTTGTCATCTCTGGACACAGTAATGGGCCAAGAAATGCTGCTGTTACTGAGAGAACTTGAACAAAAGGGAGTGGAATTCACAGCTCTTCTCCAGAAGCTGGTATTGTGTAGCACATGCCTCTCATGGTTCATTGGCTGGGAACCTCTGCAGATTACACCTACAATGTGTTTGCAGAGCACAAACATGTGTGTGTGTTGTTAAGCCCCAAATTAATCCTACTGTGTAAGAGAAGATTTTTCTCAGACATTCCTGAAGTTGAGCTAATTCTGAGTCAATCAGGACTAACAGGTTGGCAGTAGGTATGGATTGCTTGAACATAGTTTTCCTACAGGTTAACCTTTAATATCAAAGGGCTGAAGACATGGTATCTATTGAACAGTTTTCTTCTAGCTAACGGCTAGTACCTCTTTCTTTATTGTAATATTTGACTGGAAACTCTAGGTGGTCAGAGAAAACAGGGAATCTTCATGTTGGTATTTCCAGTCCTTTTTCACAGTTCCTAGCATGTATAGTAAGTAATTAGTTTAATGAATGAAAAAAATCCATGAAAATGCTTGTTTCCTTCTGCTTGAGAGGAGAATGAATATAGGTAGGTTTTGTCCTGAAGAACAATTCTATCTGTGTGTATTCAGCATGTATAGAGAACCTGACGAGAGTTGGCATCTACAGATGGGAACATCCTGAGATAAAGGCAAGTCCCTGGGTGGCATTAGATGAGAAGGAACTTTCTCGGGTGTCCTCCTGAATTACCTTCATAGTAGAACTTTACTACTTACATAACAGCACATGTAATAGCACATGTCTTTTACCTAAATTCCTAGTTGATTATGTGAAACTCTTTTTCAGCATGAAGAAGTTTCTGAGGTGGAAACCCTCCTCGATACCTCTCTACAGGGGATAGCTAATCCAGAAATTACTGTGAAAGAAAAGTGGGAGAACAAGTTCACTGTAAGTATTCTGTATTTTGATGTTTTCCTTATACTTTTGAAACCCAGGTAATACTTATTATATACAGTACTGTTTCTAAGGAACTATTGTAGTCATCTGCTACCTTAGTCTGGGGATGTGTAGAGAGTGTGTGTCTGGGGATGTGTATAAATGTGTGTATGTGGGTGAGACTGAGTGTGAGAGTGAGGAAAAAGGGAGAGCGAGTGAGTGTGAGGATATGTGTTATGTGTTGGAGAATAAATAAGATGATTTAATGTAAGGGTGTATTTTATTTGAATCCTTGTAAGAATTGGCTAGTCTAAGCCAGTTGAAACTGGCCTATTAAAATTCTCTGACTTTGGTAGAGTGGTCATTGTACAAAAGACTCTTATTCCTGAGGCTCTGACATTTTATTACCCCAGAAATTTGCAGTGCATTGGAAAAACATAAACTTCTTAGGTAGCTATTTCCAGTTTCATTAGAAAATAAGCATAAAAAGAAATCTCTTTAATTTATCCATCACTTATTATCTCTTACTTCTCGATTGCCAGACAACTTAATGTTCATCAGCCTCTAAATTAAGCTAAAGCAATAAGGAAACGCTGAAAACTCTGAAATGTTAATTTCAACCTCTTTGCCAAATTAACCTTTTTTAAGTTGCTTTTGAATACGCTGATCAACAAACACTAATTTTATCGTATTTCCTTGCCTATCCTATTCTAAAGCAATTGTGGTAATTGGTGAAAAAGTCAGGGACCCACGATCTTAAGTAAAATACATGAAATTCAATTTTAAGCACATGATAAGTACTCAATATGTACTTGTTAAACTGAGATAATCATCCTAAAGGATAATCAGTCTTTGGGATATTAAGAATTAGTGTGTGCTCACTTAGAATTGTAGGGACCAATAACAGTGAATACTGTTGAGAGGAACATGACCACAACATTTTATATTGCCTCCATCATATGCTTATATTTAACACTAGAATAGTGGAGCTTGTGTTGTTATTTTTTTTCCTTGCAGGAATTCAGATATGCCATGGAAGAGAAACTAAATCTCTGCATATTAAAGCTGCACAGCTTGGGAAAACACAAAGAACCTCTTGATAAAGAGTTTGTCAAATTGATAGAGATTTTGAAGAGATTCAGGCTGGAATATTTTCATTTCAGAAGAGAATTTCTTTCCAGGTGACAATCATTTATATATAAGAAACCCATGCTTTAGGAACATGACACGTTCATGATTGTGCCATGGCCTTCAGTTTACTTTTTCCAAGTTGTCTATATTGATTTCAGATGACACATTTTGAGAGAGGACATTTTGTCTAACAATCTTGTGATGTTGTTTGAAGTTGACTTTTATATTCAAAATTGCAAATAGTGAACTTTAACATCTGTCAAAGCCAGTACAGTGTTATTTTCACTAGAGAAGAAATTTGGAATTATAGGCTATAGAATTCTTTTAACCACAAGGGCCTTAGAGATCATTTAATAAAACCTCATACTTTCACACAAGGCAGAGGCATAAGGATATAAAATGAATTGATCAAAGCCTGAGAATGACTGGAAAATCCACAGATATATCTATTGATGGAAGAACTCGATGTTGGGTCTGTGGACTCATATGCCATTGGGCTTCATATTCCACCTCAGTCTACAGTGCATCACACTGGGTACTAGTTAATTAAATTTCAAGTGAAAAAAGTCATATGGAATAGAGGACTCTCAATGTAAAAAAAAAATTTATCATCTTACTCTTCCTCTCACTTTAATTCTTGTGATTATGGGAAAATTCTTGAAATTTGTACACTTTGTAAACCACATGTACTAAATGAGGACAGCGACTGTATCTTTCATGGACCCCCATTTATATAGCTGCTAGTACCATACTAAATGTTCTCTTAAGAAATGCTTTTTGAAGGAAAGAATGAACATGGGGTGTATAAAGAATTTTAATAAAGTAAAAAAAAATTTTATTAGAGGCCAAGTTTGCTTTAAAAAAAAAAGCCAGAAAAAACTATTTTATCCCCAGACCCCAAATAAGGAAACTAAATGCCAAAAATAAGTTAACACCAGAAGGAACTCTCAAGAAAATGATCTTCTGCTTTTCCTAAGAAGCCGGGAACCCAGACTTCCCTTAGCGGTGAAGTCGTGGGTTAAGTGGATATGTAGCTTCCTTTACACAGATACCATCCCCTCAAAAAGGAGCATTGAAATTCTTCTATGTAGCAACAGAGAACTATTTGGAGAGAGGCCTGCACTAGAGTCATCTCTGAGTAAGTACATCTCCTGTGTTACCAACTAGACACTCAAGAAACCCAGTTACATAATAATAGGTTCAATTGTTGAGAGCTTATTGTGTTGGATGTAGTGCTAAGAATTGGATATACATTTGTCTTCAGAGAGGTTCAATAACCTCCCAAGGGCACCTGAGTAGGATTAAGTGACAGCTGGGATCAGCCCTAGATGTGTTAGACATCGAAACCTATGTTCTTGCAACTATTAATCTCCCGCTACCTACTCATTAAAATCTGACATAATATTTATTAAAAATACTCTGGAAACCTAAAAATGGGTAAAATACTATTTATCAGTGTAAGAGTGGTTTAGCTGCTAACTTCTAGGACATAATTTAAACAGACAAAAGCATATAGAGGCTACACATGAAATGATTTGGCTATGGTTTTTAACTATGTTTGAGAAAAAGAGTGGAGTATTTTGTGGGAATGAGAGAATTTTATGTTTAGATGAGGTAGGGAATATTTATTAAAGGCCACTGTAAGGGCTGTAAGCTTAGGAGGAAAAGATTTCCATTTTGGCACAAGATTACCAAGCTCCAGAACTGAAGGATAGAAAGAATGGGACAAGTCAAGGAGAGGTAGTGAAAGAAAAACAGCTCTCAGAGAGCTTGGTGAGAAAAGTCAGCTTATTTGTACAACATCAAAGTGCCAGCCCTTTGTCTGGCTTTCCCCCCTCTAGGTAATAGGGACTTACAGGAAACAACGCAGAAATCTCTGCCCCCATGACGCTAACATCTGTTGAGGGACACAAATGATGAAAAAATAAACATGTAAGTATATATTTTAATGCCAGGGTGATATAAAGTAAATTAAAGCAGGATAAGAAGACCAAGAATGATAGGGGGTAGGAGGAACTAATTTTAGAAACAATGTCCAGGAAAGGCCTGTCTGAGGACTGATAAATTGAGTGGATAGTTGATGAAGTGAGAGTGAGCTATGCAATGATTTGGAGAGTGTTCTAAGCAAAGGAACTAGCTAGTGCAAAGGCCCCGTGGATGTCATGAGTTTGGCATGTTTGAGCATCAGTGAGAGGCCAACATGGCTCAGGTAGAGAGAGTTCTGGGCAGTGGTAGGAGATGAGGCCAGAGAGACAGGAAGAGGTCAGGTACACAGCCTTGCAGTTCATGTTTAAGCATGGGGATCTTATTGTGAGTGGATGGGAAGCCATTACAGGGTTATAAGCAGATAAGTGATATAACTTGTGTTTTGAAAGATCATTCTGGCTGCTGGGTACAAATTACCTATAGAGGGCAAGATTTAAAGCAATGAAACTAATTAGAAAAAGTTTTTTCAGTAACAGATCACTGATTAGATACCCTGAAACCAACTTACTGGATTATGGCCCATTTAAAAACAAAAACAAAAAAACAACTATCAGAGTATACTGCATATAGTAAGAGTAAGTAATGTTCCACAAAATTCTTGTTTTAGCTCTGTATGTGTAACTGGTTGAAATATAAAACATTTACTGCAGCATGTTAAAAAATAAAAATAAAACACTGAGTTAAGAGCTATTGCAATAGGCCAGGTGAGGGGTGTAACATCAGCCAGGGTGATAGTTGTAAAGGCAGTAAGAAATGGTTGGATTCAAACTATAGTTTGAGGATGGATCATATTTGATATGCTGGTGAATTAGCTGTATGAATGGAAACAAAGGAGATATACTTAACCTAGAGGTTTTTGGTGTAAGACTCAGTAAATGGGGTGCTATTGGGATGGGGAAGTCTGGGGGAGACTCAGACTTGGCAGGGGTAGAAATCAAGATTTAGAATTAGGACATGTTAGCAAAGAGAGTTGTTAAATATAAAAACACACACCCAAGGTTAATATTTACCTCTTAATGGGATAATAAAAATCTCAATGAAAGAAAAATCTTCAATGGTTCAACATCTGTTAAATATCATTAATACAGTAGATGGGTCTATCTAATTTTTTAAAAAGCTGTTTCTAAGATTGTTATGATTTATAAAGTACATACCACTTACCATGGCGGGGTGGCCCAGATGATTGGATCATTGTCCTATACACCAAAAGGTTGCAGGTTCAATCCCCACTAAGGGCACAGACAAGAGGCAACTGATAGATGGATGTTCCTCTCTCACATCAATGTCTCTCTTTCTCAAAAAAAAAATTCAATAGAACATATCGTTGGGTGAAGATTATTAAAAAAAAATAAATAAAGTACATAAAACTTATTATCTTATCGATGTAAACACATCTAAGTGATTAAAAATTTAATATTATTAAGTATGGATTTCTATCCATCCTTACAGTCATTTTGCTTTCATTTGGAAAATAATGGACAATCTTGAGAACTTAAACTATTCCTCAAGGAACTAGAAAAAGAAAAACAAACAAAATTCAAATATATCACAAGGAAGGAAATAATAAAAATTAGAGCAGCAAAAACCAAATAGAGGAAAGAAAAACAATTTTTTAAAAAGTCAGGAAAACTAAGTGTTCATTTTTTGAAAAGATAAACAAAAATTGACAAAACTTCAGCTAGACTAAAATAAAAAAGAGAGGGACTACTCAAATAAGTAAAATCTGAAATGAATTTACTGATGAATCTATCAAACATTTAAAGAAGATTAATGCAAATTCTTCTGAAGCTCCTTCAAAAAGTTGAAGAGGAGGGACCACCTGCCAATTCATTTTATGAGGCCAGCAGTATCCCGACACCAAAACCAACGACACTACAAAAAAAACACCCCAAAACTACAGGTCAATATTCCTCATAAATACAGGTGCAAAAATCCTCAACAAAGTACTGGCAAACCACTTTCAACAGCACATTAAAAAGAATATTATACACCATGAATTACCTCTTGAATGTAAGAATGATTCAGCATATACAAGTCAATTGATGTGATACAGCACATTAACAAAATGAAAGATAAATATCACAAGAGCATCTAATTTGATACCAAAAAATATTTACCAAGGTGCAACACCATTTCATAATGAAAGTATTCAAAAGCCTAGAAATGGAAGGAAACTACCTCAACATAATAATGGCTGTGTATGAAAAGCCCACAGCTAACATCATACTCAATGGTGAAAGACTGAAAGCTCTTCCTCTAAGTTCAGAAACAAGGCAAGCATGACTACTCTCATCACTTTCATGCAACATGGTACTGGTTAGAGCAATTATACAAGAAAAATAAATAAAAGGCATCCACATTGGAAAAGAAGAAGCAAAGTCATCTCTGTTTGCAGATGACATCATTTTATATATAAAAAACTCTAAAGATGCCACGAAGAGCTGTTAAAAGTAAGAAACAAATTTAGCAATACTGCAGCCTACAAAATCAGCATACAAAAACTAGTTGCATCTCTATAAACTAATAATGAACTAGCTAAAAAGAAATCTGAGAAAGCAATCCCATTTAAAATCATATCAAAAAGAATACAATACTTACAAATAAAGTTAACTAAGGAGATGAAGACTTTTATACTAAAAATTACAAAACATTGCTGAAAAAAATTAAAGATGTAAATAAGTGAAAGGACATTTTATGTTAATGGATTGGAAGACCTAATAGGGTTAAAATGTTCATACTACCCAAAGCAACCTACAGATTCAATATAATACCTATCAAAATCCTAATGACATTTTTTGCAGTAACAGAGAAAAACAATCCTAATGTTCATATGAAATCACAAAGCACCTGAAAGAGTCTTGAGAAAGAACAAAGCTGAAGGTATCTGACTTCCTGATTTCAAAATATATCATAAAGCTACAGTAATCAAAATATTAGGGTAGTGGTCTAAAGACAGACATATTGACCAACATAAGAGAATGAACAACCCATAGATACATGAACTCTGATTAGTGTGCCAACGATACACAATGGAAAAGAATAGTCTTTTCAACAAATGGTGTTGGAAAAATTAGATATCCATATGCAAAAGAATGAAGTTGAACACATTATATACCACATACAAAAATTAGCTCAAAATGGAGTGAAAACTTAAGCATAAGGCCTAAAACTGTAAAACTCCTAGAAGAAAATTTGGGGGAAAACTTCATGACATTGGTCTTGCCAATGATTTATTGGACATGACACCAAAAAGCACAGGCAACCAAAGCAAAATAGACAAGTGGGTCTATATCAGACTAAAAAGTTCCTGAACAGAAAAAGGAATTAACAGTGAAAAGCTAACATATGGAATGAAAAAAATATTGCAAACCATATATCTGATAAGGGGTTAATATTCAAAATATATGAGGAACTTCCACAATTCAATAACAACAACAAAAACAATAACCCAGATTGAAAATTGGCAGAGGGCCTGAATAGACCTTTATTCAAAGAGGATGCACAGATGGCCAATAGACATGCGAAAAGGTGCTCGATGTCATTAATCATCAGAAAAATCCAAATTAAAATCACAATGAGATATCACTTCATACCTGTCAGATTGGCTATCAGTAAATCAACAAACAACAAGTATTAGAGAAGGCGAGGGGAAAAGGAAACACTTGTACACTGTTGGGATTGTAAATTATCGCAGCCAGTATGGAAAACAGTATAGAGAGTCCTCAAAAAATTAAAGTGGAACTGCCTTATGATCCAAAAATTCCATTTCTGGGTATTTATCCCCCCCCAAAATAACCCTCCACTAATTCAAAATGATATATATTCCCCTATGTTCATTGTAGCATTACTACTAATAGCTAAGATATAGCAGAAACATAGATGTTCACCAATAGATGAATGGATAAAGAAGATGTGATATATATCATATATGGATATATATGAATATTACTTTATATATGAATATTCTTGCCATTTGTGACAACATGGATAGGCCTAGAGGGTGTTGTGATAAGTGAAGTAAATCAGAGAGAGAAAGACAAATGATATATGATTTCACTTGTAAGTGGAATATAAAGCACAACAAATGAATAAACAAAACAAAATACAAATAGATCCATAGATATAGAGAACAAGCTGATCATTGCCAAAGTTCAAGAGGGTGGGGTGAATGGAAATTTAAAAAAATGCCTAGTGAAAAAAAAACAAAAAATGAGAAGGGTACTTAAATAGGCATTTTTCCAAAGAAGGTATACAATTGACCAACAGGTACATGAAAAATGCTCAAATACTAATCATCAGGGAAATGCAAATTAAAACCACAATGAGTCATTCACAATGATGAATGAATCACACTTATTTGGAAGGGTGTTATTTAAAAAAAACAAAAAACAAAGATACCAAGTATTGGCAAGGGAAATTGAAACTCTTGTACACTGCTCATGGGAATGTAAAATGGTGCAACTGCTATATGGAAACAGTATGGAAGTTCTTTAAAAATAGAACTACCAAATGATCCAGCAATCACATTTCTGGGTAAATATCCAAAAGAATTCAAAGCAGAACTTCAAAGAGATATTTGTACACCAATGTTCACTGCAGCATTATTCACAATAGCCAAGATGTGGAAATAGCCTAAATGTTCATCAGTGGGTGAATGAATAAAGAAATGTGGTATATTCATACAATGACGTATTATTAAGCCTTAAAAAAGAAGAAAATTTTGCCACATGTGACAACATGGATGAATCTAGAGGACGTTATGCTTAGTGAAATAAACCAGTTATGAAAGGACAAATACTGCGTGATTACACTTGAGTGAGGTGTTAAAAATGATCAAACTCAGAAGCAGAGAGTAGAATGGTGGTTTCCAGGTGGTAGGGGAGGAAGAAATGGGGAGTTGCAATTCTTCAACAGTATAAAGTTTAATAACACAGGATAAAGTAAGTTCTGGAGATCTGCTGTACAACACTGTGCCTGTAGTTAACGCTGTCCTGTACCCTTAAAAATGTGTGAAGAGGGTAGAACTCATGTTAAATGTTCTCATCACAATTTAAGAAAAGAAAAATTTGACTATAAGCTATTGAACAATCTTAGTTGAATATGTGTTCAGATAGTTTTAATTTTGTTTAAGGTTTTGTTTGCTGGTTTGCTATAATGGTAAAGCATTCTGTAAGACCATCCTTGTCTCTCACGTAGTCCTCTTTGTAATCAGGACGGGATTTATGACAATGTACAATGGGATTCTGACTGTGCTAACATTTGAGAGGCACACAAAAGGCCTAAACCTGACAATGATTTCCTCATTGCTTTAAAACTCCCAATGTTTATCATTCCTTTGAGCTAAGGTTCTTATTCAGGTCAAGTTGTCTCCAGATAATAATTGATATATTGATACATAGCAGTTCAAATAATCTCATCAGCTATCAGAGAGTAAATGCAGTTTTATATATTTTGAGAATTAAGTCATATCCAAAGAAGAGGTAACAGGACAACACTAAGAAATTTGGGGTGAGGAAGAAAGGGAAGGGAAGGTCTCCAGGAAGAGAAGATGCAGAGGAACTACGAACTGGTAGCTTTCATGTGTGCTTGGGAGCAGCCCTTCCTGTTCTCATGGATGTATTTCCACCATGATTGACAAATTTTAAAGAAAAAGGCCAAGGTCATGAAACAAAGCTCCTCTTTCTGTTTTTTTTCCTCCCTCACTTTTTCTTTCTTTATTTTTCTGAAAAAGCTAGCTGGGCCATGTAAATACTACACGTTTCACCATTGTATTAGCTCCACCCTCCAAGGAATTGGCCACCCATGCAAAGTGCTATGAATGTATCTTGTGGGGAACTGAATATTTCAATGTAAAATAGGAAACTAAATGTCTTTATCATAAAGTGAAGGTATCAGGCTAAGGGATCACGATGATTGCTTTAATTAAAATTCTATATTGATGAAGCATTTATATCTATGAAAACACTTTCACTTTTTCCTCTGATCTCTGAGGAAGTGCATGAAGTCTGAATTTGTCACAACTTCCCAGGGGTGACTCTTAGTTGAAATGTCACTGATAGCTTGTGGTTGGGGCTTTTTTTTTTTTTTTTTTAACTCCAGACAGAAACAACTAGAAGCCCTTAAACAGCTGCAAGAAGATGCTGTCAACCAGGAAGCCATACTTAGGAAGAAGGTCCAAGAAGCCAGCCAATGGCAGAAGGATGCAGAGGAGCAGGTAGGGCAGCCTTTAACTACATTATATTTAGGGGAAGGCTCCTCAGATGTCTGTAAAACCATGAAGTAAAAATGGAGAAGGAAAACAACAACAACAAAAAAAAAAAACCAAAGAGGAACTGTGAAGTTCAGTCCCTCGAGACTAGCTGTATGCGGAGGAAGTAAAGGGGGGCGTTGTAAAAGAGGTGGTGTCAACGCTGCAGAAAGAGGCAACTTGACATATTAAGGCGCTTAGGGCTGTCGATAGAGCTCAGGCATATGAAGCCCATGCAAACACAGAATTGCAGAAGTTCAGTAGAGGCTTATCACTTCCCTGAGAAGAAAAGCACATTTTCAGTTTCCTGTGCAGAACAGTGAGCACTCAATTGCTTTCTTTCCTGGCCACACTGCGAGAATTCAGTATTAACTGTACACCTCCAGGTTGAGGATCGAGATGGCACTACCCACTCTGCCAGTGAAAAAGCTAAGTCTTTGCTGCATAAATTAGAGGAAGCAATTTCAGAACAACTGAGTCTCCAGACTATAAATACTGAGCTAGTGAACACTTGCCAGACAGCGGAGCAGAAGACAAGAAAACTGAAAAGTGAGTAGCAAATATTTGTTATGTCCCAATATTGTCCACTCTGAGATGTGGCAAGAGGACTCCGGCCATTTTTGTAAATTACAGTTGCTGTATTATTAAGATATTTAGGACAACAAAATCATTCCAGAAGGTGGTATTGTGGCTCAGAGACGTTTGCCTAGTAGCTAGGCAGATTGATTTAACCACTGGCTTTCCTTTTGGTTGTTTATTACAAGCTAGATTTGTCTGTGACTGTTATTTCTTTAAAAATTAAATAAAATGTCTCAATATCTGTAAAAGTAAACAATGAAAAAAATCTTGTTCGCATGAGATATTTGAGGCTGCAAATTGTTTTCTTATTCTACCCTGATTTTGTTAGCTAGTTTGTACCCATCGTATGGTAGAAAAGACCCTGCCTCTCTATTTCCTTTTAAACAGTAATTTTAGGGTTGGGCAAAATACTTAAGAATTTCAAGTGTACCAAAATATTAAATAGGTGTGGAATTTCTTTTTAAATATGTTATTTATGTATATATTTTGCTTTGAAATTAGAATATTTTTCCATTTTTCAGTATTACCTAAAAATGGATGTTTACTAAGGGTTTAGGTGAGAAGACAACTGTCAAATTACAGATGTCAGATTATTTATAAGCTTATTTTATTCTAGAACCATAAAAAATAAACCTTATTTATTTGGCCATTTATCAGACAATTTCTTTTTTTCAGTCAGCTTCTTGTTCTAGCAGAATAAATGTTCTTTTAATAGAGAGCTATCGGTTTGGGTAATAAACAACTAAACATAAGGTTAAGGCAAGCCAGAGATAAAACTCTTCAGACATGTGTTTGATTTGTATTTATTGTACCTTTTCTAAAACTGTTATCTGAGGAAGGTGTTTAAGTGTTTAAAGGAACTGGCTAGTTCTAAAATAGCAGTGGTTATTCAACATTTTATTATTTTTTAAAAATCTTGCAGAATTTGCTAGCTTTTAATAACTCTAAATATTGGATTACTTTGTTTCACTTTGTCACACAATGTAAGGCATACTTTAAATTACATAATCTATGTATTGTTTTATGTTTGCTCAGAGGGCCTTAGAGAAGGTTCCCTTATGATTAGAAGTGTTCATGTTGAGACATGAATAAAAACCAAATTTGGTTTATGGTATGCTGACTTTGGACACTGTGCTTAGAGGACTAGTTTTTTGGTCCAGTTACATTTATCTTTTGATTAAATCAGTATTATATCCCCCATAGTTTTATAAAACTAAAAATTTATCTCTACTCCCCACCCTCTGTAATTTCTTTTTAAAGAGTCAACTTTCATAACTTATCCCAAAATATGCATTCCCGATATTAAGAACTTGCTATTGTCTTCCCAGTTTATCCTTAGGAGATATTTGGTCCAAATATTATTTTAAAATATTTAACCCAGCATCCCTGGGTTGAATGCATGCATTTTTTTTTTTTCCTGGCTGGATAAAGTAGAGTGGGTATCTTCATTCTGTCCCTCATTGCTCACAGCCTGCCTGGCTTTGTGAAATCCTGTACATAATTGTATATTTTGCTACATAAAAAAGACAAACATGTCAACCTTGTGATCTTACAATCATTTGCTTCTGAAGATCTTCCCAGTAACCCCTTAAAATCAGCCTTTGCAAGAAGAGGAAACTATAGGTAGCAGATATTTTAGACATGTGCTAAATAGCAGACTTTCCGGATAGACTGTGAGTAAAGGTCACTGAGGGAAGACAGTTGTCACACAAACATCCTGGCCCATCCCTCCACGACGACTGCCACCACACGCTGAACGAGTTCTGAGTCAGACATGTGAATTCTGAGTCAGGAAATTGAAATGCTTCAATCCATTTAGTTTTTCTGAAACTTACAGGTTAGCTTAATAAATTCACGAAGTATTTAAGGCAATTACTTTCTGCTACATCTAAGAAAGGCTCACTGGCAAATTGTATGGAGATGTAGCTGTTTTGTTCAAATGTCTGGGTCAATGACAGTGTTCACAAACTGGAGCTAGGGAGTTATTTATGACATTGGAGTAGAAATTCAGATCTTAATGCCGGATAAATAATTTTGTTCAAGTCTCCCATTGCCACCAGGACCGGACTGCTTAGTGACATAATCAGGGTGCATGCTTGCCTCCATGAAATGTGCATTAGAACTGCTAAAGCTCTTGAATGGTTACTTACAGATTTTCTTTCTTTTGCTTCTTACCTTCTAAGTATCTTGTTAACAAAGGCAGTACTAGATGTATAAATCTATGTTTGCTTTAAAAAGAGATTTAAAAAAATCTTCTTAGGTCGAGGGTATACATTCAGAATACTAGTGTGAACCTAATGTGTATGAAACATATGCTAATTGATCTAATCCAAACTATAGCCACTTTACTAGTCACCCTTTTTTGCCTACATGATATGAAATTATCATTGAGTCATTCATTTAATAAACATTGAGGGAATTACCTTTAGAAACCACGAATATTTCTTTGAGGAGAGAGCCTGAGAGGCTTTGTGATCAGAACTCCTTATTGGAACATAGTGTCTATACATGAACTTTATAGCTGAGAGAAGGCTTTCATCTAGATGATCTCACTGGAAACTCTTCTAGATTGCTATTCTTAGCATGCAGGTCATGAGATATAGGACAGACAACAGCCTTACAGCTTTGAGGATGGGTGCAAGGTAAGAGCCACATGTCCTGAACAGTCAGTACACAAAAGGGAAATGAGACAAGAAAAGGGGATTCGGGTGGTTGAGACACTTTAAGATAGATGTAGAAGTGAGGACCATGGGGAAAACCAAAGTAAACATAATTTACTCAATACCTCTGATGGGATGGGGGCCTACATTTTCCTAAGTGAAGGATGCAGGTATGGATGAAACCATCTAGGAGGCAGTATAGCTTAATGAGTAAGAGCATGGGATTTGAAGTTAAACCTATGTTCTGATTCTAAGTCTGCAAAAGAAACTGGATAGAGTTGGGCAAATCACTTTACCTCTCGAAGCCTGTATCCTATTCTAGAAAGTGCAATGGTAGTCACTTTATAAATAACATCAGTGCAAAACAGTGCTTGGCCATACTTGGTGCATACAGTCAGTTCTGCCAGAGTATGTTTCTATCACATGAATTGCCTCATTCATAATTGGCAAATGAGTAATGATATGTTAGTGTAGTATGAAGTCACATTGTTTTATTCACGATTTTCCTGGGGATAGAATTTGGCTGGAAGGAATAGAACTATAACCTTCATTGGCTACTGACAGGCAGCCGGAGCCCTTTTAGCTGTGCTTTAAGAAAATGAAAAGCAAGTGTCTGCACCTGGGCCTTACTCCCCAGTGAAGCGCCGCACAGCCTTGCAGGGCTCTGGCTTGGGGCAGACTGTACCCCCTCCTGGGCTCATGTCAGCAGCCCCACTGCCTCGGGGCCCCACTGCCATCTGCACCCCACGGGCACCTTCCATTTCAGGTGTCAACAGCTTTTACACTCTACTGGTTTCTTGTGTTTCTAGTATCCTGTGAGGTAGCCTTTAGCCATTTTAACATGCATGTCTCAGTGATCCAAGTTATCTTGCTAGGCACTAATCATTTAATAACTGTTTATTTGCACTCTGGTTTCTGCCTAACTCTCAGTCATAGCACTGTTATTTTTGTTCTTGTTATAGTTTTTAAATTATTTTTATTGATGAATAATTAACATACCATAAGACACTCAGATCTTAGCTCTAATGTGCAACCAATTTGTCAAATGCACATTGAAACACAGAACGTCAAAAAATAAATTAATTAAAATTAAAAAACAAACAAACTACAGAACATCTATAACCCCAAAAATCTCCCTTGTGCTTTTTCCCAGTCACTCCCTCTTCCCCATCTCCACTGCAAGGAGCAACCACTGATCTGATCTCTGTCATTGATGGTTGAGTTTAGCCTATTCTAGAACTGAGTTACACAGTGTGTACTTCGCGTGTGTGTGTGTCTTTTTTCCCTCAGCATGGTATTTATCTATGTTGTGTTTATCAGTGCCTTTTCATGGCTGAGTTGTAGTTCTTTGCTTGAATATTCCATAATTTGATTATCTTTTTCCCTAGCGGTCATCTAAATTATATACAGTTTGGGGATGGTATAGAGAAAGCCACTATGAATACCTGTGTATGGATCTTTGTGTGGATATATGCTTTTATTTAACCTAGGATAAATACCTAGGAGCAGAGTCGTCAGATCATTGGGTAGTTGTAATTCTAACGTTTTAAGAAACTGCAGAGCAGCCTTCCAGAGCATGCACAGCCTTCGGCACTCCCGAGCAGCAATGCTTGGGAGTGCCGGGGGCTCACAGCTCCAGCTTTTGGTGGAGCGAACAGAGAGACTGACGTTTTCACCACTCTTCTGAGTCTCTCATTGTGATTTTCATTTGTTGTGCTGATTGGCTTTATCTTCTTTGTGAAGTATCTAAGTCTTTTTACCCATTTTCAAAGTAGGCCATTTGTCCTTTTTTAATTGTTACAGGATTTCTTTACATAATTTGTATGCAAGTCCTTTAACAGATATGGGCCTTGTGAATTATTTTCTCCGTCTTTGTTCTTCAGTGAATCCTGCTATTTTAATGTACAATTTTATAGAACGTGAGGTAACACATGTATTTTGTTATAAAAATCCATATTTCCTAAGCATCAGCCAACATTGATAGCTAAAATTTTTGCAGCTCTAATATTGGGGTTTTGATTTTCAGCAGTTGACGGTGGGCCTTTGCATGAAAGCCTCATTGCACAGTCATTTGGAAAACTGCTTCATCTCAGCTCCCTTCAAAGGCGATGTATCTAAGACACCCAGTCCCATCCTACATCACAGATGGCAACAGCAGGGGATACAGTGGCCATTTTTTTTTTCTTGCTTTCGTGTGAAACCTAAATGTCCTAGAGACAGGGCAGGTCCAGCTCCAAACATATGAAAAAGAATGCAAAGGTGAATGCAAATTATGGTCATAAGCCAGCTTATTTTGCCTTACGAAACATATGGAAATAGTTGCTACACATTGCACAAAACATCTGTTGAAATAAGGTTTACAATTTGAATGTTTTGAGATGGGTTATTTCTAAAACCCAAGATTGCCTTATAAGAAAGCAGATGGGCAATTTAGACAGTCTTATACTAACTCGAAACACAAGCTTAATTTGGAAATTCAGAGAAGTGTTTTGGAGTTATGCAACCTTCAGAAACATGTTTCTGGCCACATTTGAAAGCTTTGGTTGCTGTTGCTTAGATGTAGGTTAGGAGGAGGATGGGACCTTATTTCTTAATACAAATAACATAGAGAATTTTTTTAAAAATTGAATCTTTACTGGAGTTCTAAATATTATGAAATTTTTTTAATTTAAATTACTTAACTATGTTCAAATATTTTTTAAAAATATACTTTCCTTTTAGTGGAGCTAGTAACACTATCTAAAGCTTAGTTGAGAAATGAGTTGTTTTTATAAAAAAAAATTCTTACAAAATAGAATATTACATGGGTTAATTTCCACATAATTAAAGCTTCTTAAGCCTTCTTTTCCCGAAAAAAAATTCAAATTAGATTATATATTTACTTTCACACATGTGAGCATTATTTTCATGGCTCAGAATTTCTTCATGCTATTGAAATATTAAACTGTTGGTATTTAATTTAAGAAGCACCAGATTTCTATATGTTTCGGACACAGAATATCTGCTGTTAATTTTCCTGGCTGTAGTGGTTTAAAAAAATTTTTTCGTAGCTATTAATATGCCTGCATGTAGCAGAGCTTCATACCCTCATTTAATTTTTGTTTTTAATCATCTGTGGGCTGAGAAAACAGTCAACTGTGAGAATTATGTATACATTCAGAACCCATTTTCTGAGTGGAAATGTGAGGCTTTCCTATATGAAGAAAGGGCATGGATATCACCATCTATTTTGGTTGTTCAAAAGCTTTGGTCCTATTTTCTTGGTCTTGGCTATATATCAAAAGAATATGGATTGTCAGATAAGTAATATGTTACTACGTAGTAGCTCAAAGAGTTGAATAGGCATTATTTCCCCATTTCCATTACTCTAGAGATGAGAATTTGACAGTTACTGGGAAGCAGATTTTAGTTAAGTAAAAAGACACATATTTTTATTTTCACAGAAGAGTATAGCAAATGAAGCACTATCCTGTAAGTCTGAGCTCAGTTGCCTGAATGACCAGTTATCATTTAAATCCTCTGGGCTTCGGTGTTCTCATGATCTCAGGCTGTTTGTTGGATTCTGGGATTTTAAGTCTCTACTTCTAGGGTTTCCATCTTTGTGGCTCAAGCACAGGCTTATTGGAGAGACGAATTCTACATCGGCAGGTTCGGACTGATGAGCTCTAAGGCAAATTCCCATTTTAAGATTGAATAATTCTGAGGCTCACTTCTAGAAGACAATTCACTTGCGTGTATGGAGGTTAAGTTTAAATACCCAAGGGTGGTGATGGTTTGCTGCTTTAGCCTGCTTTTTTCTCCTGCTCTTTTGTTTTCGCAAGACCTGAGTTGAGGATGCCAGTCTCAGAAATCATAGTTTTCTCTCCTGTCTCCTCGGGCCCCAATCGTAAAGCTGTTAAAAGTTTATGAAACGAATTAAGGGGAAAGGAACTTGCATATTAAGCTGATTACAAATTCTCTTTACAGCAACAATCAAGTCACTAAGAAAGAAGTTAATTAAAGGACGACTCCATAGCTTGTTGTTTCAGGTAAAATAATATATGTGTGTGTTTAGTGTGGGGATGATGCCCAAACTGTGTAAGATTTTGAAGCTAATTTATAATGGCTAATAACTTTAATCATAAAATTAAATAACTAACTTAGAAGAAATGCTCTGGCGAACTTTGTTCTCACGGGCACTGAAAATGAGGAAAGAACTCACATTAATGAATGGTTTGTTGAAGACATTGCATCTTTTGGAGAGGATGCATTGCAGAATTTACTGTATCTATTAGAAAAGGGCCAGTTGGCAGTCTCAGGCACCTCCTTTCTGATAATCTGGAACATGTAATCCTGAAACGGCTTTGTTGGTTGCTGCCCCTTTTTCCTTCTATTTGAATTAACCTTTCAACTCTGTCTGGATAGCTCAAGATATCCATGATTGAGTTTAATGTATCTCTTTTCCTTATGACCCTTGGTGAATTTCATCTTTTTATTCATAAGTAAAAACATAAGGAACGGCAAATTTGGCACTAGAAGAAGAAAGAGAGACAGTACTATTTGCAAGTATCTGTTTCCTGGGCATAATGTAGGCACATCCGGTTAAGAGGGAAAAAAAAAAAATATATATATATATATATATATATATATATATATATATATATATATATATATAAAATCACATGGGAGTTTAAGCTAGGCAGAGTTCCTAAAAAGCCCCCTGCAATAAGTTGAACTGAAAAAAAAAAGTCCATATCTAAATACGTTTTAATCATTTTAGGAATACCAGTAAAATTTTCTATTATAATGCAACTAAGAGAGATAAGTAGCTACCTCTTAGACTGAAGCCATGATTTTATTGCTATAAAATTTTCACAGGCACCATTTTTATTATGCTGAGTTATGTCTCCAACAAGCTCCTTTGGCCTCTGCCTAAAGATTTCAATTACCATTCAGTTTCCTGTTCTTGATCTTTGGATTTTATTCCTTCAGTAAAAGGGAAATGGCAGTGAGAGGTTAACAATGACAAACTCATTTCCTTGAAGTAGAATACAGGATAAAGAACTGGTCACTTTTACCCACCCGAGGTAGCATAATTTCTTAAGTTTTGTGTCTTTGACTCCTTTATCAGTCTGTCTTTGACTACACTTCTCCATTTTCTCATGACAGAGATGTTTAGATGAAGAATTTCCTCACTATGATCCCTTGCCCTACAGAAATACAATTAAACAACATCTTCAAGAACAACAGGTAAGTTTAAGCTTCTTGAAATGATTTAAGTGTGAATCAATTGCTATGCCAAAATAGAAAGTTAAGTTTTGTATGTATTGGTAGTCTGAGAACTCTACATTGCTCTTCTTCAAGAAGTTTTCAAATGAAGCAAATGAATTCCTATTTATTTTTATTATGCACATGAACACAATCTTGGTAGACCCTAAGAAATGTTGATTTTTTTTTAAACCTAAATTTATTTTTAGGAAGAGGGAAAGAAGGAAGGAAGAGGGAGAGAAACCTCATTTTGCAAGAGAAATATCTGTTGGTTAGTTCTCTCCTCTAACTGGGGACCTGGCCTGCAATCCAGGCATGTGCCCTGACCTAGGACCAAACCAACAACCTCTCGCTTTGTGGGATGACACCCAACACACTCAGTCACACCAGTCAGGGCAATATTTAAATTTTTTTCTTTCCTTTTTATTTTTTAAAATATTTTATTGATTATGCTATTACAATTTTCCCAATTTTTTCACTTTTGCCCACTCCACCCAGTACCCTCATTCCCTCCAGCAATCCCCACCCTTTGGTTCATGTCCATGTGTCATGCATATAAGTTTTTTCACTGCTCCATTACCTATCCTGTTCTTAATATCCCCTGTCTATTTTGTATCTACCAAACAGTGCTTCTTAATCCTTGCACCTTCTGTCCATTTTCCCCTTCCCCCCTCCCAGCTGATAATCCTCCAAATGATCTCCATATCTGTGATTCTGTTCCTGTTCTGCTTATTTGAATACTTTGTTGTTTGGATTCAATTATTAATAGTTGTGAATTTATTGCCATTTTAATGTTCATCATTTTGATGTTCTTTTTCTCAAATAATTCCCTTTAGCATTTCCTATAATAATGGTTTGGTTAGAATAAACTCCTTCAGTTTTACCTTGTCTGAGAAGCACTTTATCTGCCCTTGATTCTAAATGATAGCTTTGCTGGATAGAGAAATCTAGGTGGTAGGATGTTTCTCTTCATCACTTTGAATACTTCTTGCCAGTCCTTTCTAGCCTGCAGTTTTCTTGGGAAATCAGCTGACAGTCTTGTGAGAATTCCTTTGTAGGTAACTAGTTGCTTTTCTCTTGCTGTTTTTAAGGTTCTCTCCTTATCTTTAACCTTTGGCATTTTAATTATGATATGTCTTGGTGTGGTTCTCTTTGGGCCCAACATGTTTGAGACTCTGTGCTTTCTGGACTTGTATGCCTCCCTCACCAAATTAGGGAAGTTTTCTTTCAGTATTTTTCAAATAAGTTTTTAATTTCTTGCTCTTCCTCTTCTCTTCTGTCATACCTACTAATCAAATGTTGGTACATTTAAAGATATCCCAGAAGTTCCTAAGCCTATCCGTGTTTTTTTAATTCTTTTTTCTTCCTGTTTTTCTAATTGAATGCTTCTTCCTTCCTTGTGTTCCAAATCATTGATTAGATTCTCAGCTTCATCCCTTCCACTGTTGGTTCCCTGTAGATTTTTCTTTATTTCACTGCAACCCTCTTTTCTTTATTTATGTAACCCTCATTTCTACCTGGGCCTTTTTTATGCCACTGAAGTACACAGTGAGTTCCTGGAGCATCCTGATAACCAGTGTTTTGAAGTGTGCATCTAATACATTGCTTATCTCCATTTCATTTAGTTCTTATTCTGAAGTTTTGTTCTCTTCTTTCATTTGGGCCACGTTTCTTTGTCTCCTTATTTTGGCAGCCTCCCTGTGTTTGTTTCTATGTATTAGGTAGAGCTACTTTGACTCCCGTCTTCATAGTGTGGCCTATTGTAGAAAGGACACCTGTTAAGTTGTATGGGGCAGAACCTTAGGTAATCTCCAGGGCTGGGCAAACTGTGTCACCACTCTGTTGCTATCTGTTGGGGGAGGGCTTGCAGAGGGGACAGTGCTGCTGCTTGGCTTCTGGAGTTTTGCCCCAGAAGAAGCTATCATTCCACTCACACGACTTTCTCCCCATATGCCACTGGTGCCCTTCCAGCTGTTGCGCTGCTGCTGAATCCCAGAGAGGGTGGGTCTGCGTGAGTCCTAAATCCATTGCAATCCCTTTAAGAGGAGTCTCTTGAGAGTCCCACAGCTTCTTCTGCCACCCGAACGCCCACTGGTTTTTACAGCCAGAAGTTATGGGAACTTATCTTCCTGGTGCTGGAACCTTGGGCTGGGTGGTCCAGCCTGGGGCTGGGATCCCTTGCTCCTGAGGTATCCCTCCCAATTTTTACCCACCACATATCGATATGAGACTGCCTGTTCCTGTTTCCACACCTTTCTGTGCCTCTCTGCATCTCTGCCCCTCCTACCCATCTGGATGAATGTGGCTCCTTTAAATTTACGGTTTTCAGACTTTTTCACAAATTTCTGACAATTCTGGGTGATATTTGTTCTGTAGTCTAGTGTATTTTTTGCTATACCTGTGTGTGGAAGCAAGGCATCATTACCTATACTTCCATCTTGACCACCATTTTCCAATATTTAAAAATCTTTGATTGCAGTATTATGATGAAGAATAACAACATAACTAAGCTTGCCCCTCACCCATTCCTCTCTTTCCTCAAAGGCTTTGTTTCTATGAAAACATCAATTTATTGGGAATTGATCATGTTTTCATTCTGTTAAATTAATGAACTGTGATCTTTAATAAGAATTATACTTTACTCATAGAGATGTATTTTGATCAAAGGCATGGAAGCATTGTTATTTGATATTGTTTATTTTTTTCCCAACCTCTCTTATAAGGTTATTTGAGACTAGTGATATTTTACCATTGGAGATGAAGAGATTAGATTATAAAATATGTTATTTTATTCCCCTTTAAATAGCTAATTCTACTTGACTTTCTTTTTCAGGAGCCGTGTTGTCATAAGCAGTGTCATGGTCAAGAAGCAAGGATACATCAGACACCTCTGACCTTCAAACATACATGCTGGTACACACCTCTGCTGGGTAAGCCTGGATAACGCCTCTCTGACACCTTATCAGACATATCTGGGTTAAGGTTCCTTTGAAAAGGAAAATAATTAACCACAATTATGTTTGTGTAAGAAGAGTTGTTAAATACTTGGATATTTATCCTTCAATTCAGTCAATCAGCTTATGTTTCAACACATGTTCTATACAAGGCACTGTATTATGTATAATAGAGAATAAATCCTAAAATAACTCACAGATTATTGGGCTCAGAGAAGTCCCCATAAATGAAATGAGAGTTGAACCAGGCCTTGAAAGGTGGGTTGCCTTTGGAAAAGTAAAACTCATGGGAAACCTATTCCAACTGGGGAGAATGAAATGAAGGGGGAAAATAACCAAACCCAGAAGAATGCAAAAGCCCTACATGTTTGAAGAAGAGACAAAGCTGGACAAGTTATTTTGGAAAAACAGGAGTTGGGTTGGGGTTCAGTAGAAACTGAACGTGGAGCATGTTGTGTGTTGAATTGTGGAATGCTACTCAAAGCTAGACTAAAGAAAAGGATGTTTCTCTTAGGGAATGCTCAAAGCAGTGACATCTCTCATCACAACTTGGATGTGTTTAAAAGCAAAAGTTAATGGCTGGTTTGTAAATTACAAAAGAAATGGGATGATTATCAAAATAAACAGGAAAGAATGAAAAGAAAGAGCGATTTGTGGATCATTTCAGCTACAGATGGAAAAACTACTGCCACTACCAATGGACAATAGATCAGTGCTTTATAAGAGATGATTTTAGTCACACTAACTCAGTGATAACAGCAACATAACTATGACAGCACTGCTATCATAGTTGCCAGGCCCAGTTCTCTGTTCTTAATGTATTTATTAACTCATTTAATTCTCACCACATCCCAATGAGGTAGATGCTAATCTAATTCCCACTTCATTTTTTAAAATCATGTTTGTTCTATTACTGTTGTCTCAATTTTTCCCCCTTTGCCCTCCTCCACCCATCCCACTTCCCATCCCATTCCCACAGTCAATTCCCACACTGTTGTCCATGTCCATGGATCATTCATACATGTTCTTTGTCTAGTCCCTTCTCCTTCTTTCCACCATTGTCCTCCTTCCCCATGCCCTCTGGTCACTTTCAATCTGCTCCATGTTACCATGCCTGTGGTTCATTTTGTTTGTTAGCTTATTTTGTTGAATAGATGCAACTTATAGATGAGATCATATGGTATTTGTCTTTCACTGACTGGTTTACTTCACTTAGCATAATATTCTTCAGGTCCATCCATGTTGACACAAAAGGTAGGAGTTCCTTCCTTCTTTCTTTTCTTTTCAAATTCAGACTGATTTTATTTATATTTTTTAAATGTCAAAATCCATTATAAAATATTAAAAAATGTAAATCCATTATAAAGTCTCAGCAATTAAAACAACATGACACCAGCACAGAAATAATCAAGTAGATCAATGAAATAAAATGAGCATTCAGGAAAGAAATGCATATATCTGTCTAACAATGTAACATATGGTTAAATTGATATTTCAAATCAATGGAGAAAATAAGGCTTATTTAACAAAAAAAGGTGCATGGACCATAATTACTTGAAATAAAATAAATATAAAGCCCTATTTCACACTTTATACAACACATATTGAGGTGAGTTAAAAATCAATATGTAAAATCTAAGGAGTTTTAGGAGAAAATACAAAAGAATATTTTTCTTACCCTGAAGTAGAATATTCAAACCCAGAAGCTACAAAGTAAAATATTGATAACATGACTATATTAAACATTTAAGACTATAGTAGTATACATATAAAACAGTTTAAGTATAAGTAATAGAATAGGAAAGTATTTGCAACACATCTAAAAAAGGGTTAATAGTTTTTTGTTTTTTGTTTTTTAGGGAAAATATTCTGCAAACATTTAGTCAAAAAATGGATAAAGAATACCAAAAAGTCATTTAAAGCTTTTTAAAAATAATAGAAATAGGCAAGAAATATACAAAAACAAGTCTAGTTTCAACAAATAATAAAGTAACAATTAAAATAACACATCACTGTCACAATCAGATTAATAAGTATTCAAAATATTGGTAATGACAAGTATTGGTGACTGTAAAAGGAACTGGGTATTCATAGACTCTTTTTCTTCATCTTCTTAAAGCAGTCCCTTTAGCATATCTTGCAGTGCTGGTTTAATGGAAGTGTATTCTTTTAGTTTTCTTTTGTCTGGGAAACTCCTTATTTTGCCTTCCATTTTCATTGAGGGCCTTGCTGGGTAGAGCAGTCTTGTTGAAGGCCTTTGCTTTTCATGACTTGGAATATTTCTTGCCATTCTCTTCTGGCTTGTAGTGCTTCTGTTGAGAAGTCAGCCACTAGCCAAATCGGGTCTCCCTTGTATGTTTCTCCCTGTTTCTCCCTTGCTGCCTTTAGGATTCTCTGTTTGTCTTTGATATTTGCCATTTTAATGATGATGTGTCTTGGAGTGGGCCTCATTGGGTTCCACTTGAATAGGACCCTCTGTGCTTCCTGGACTTGTGTGACTTTTTCTCTACTCCAATTAAGGAAGTTTTCCATCATTACTTTTTCAAACAGGTTCTCTATCCCTTCCTCATCCTTTTCTCCTTCTGGTATCCCTATTAAAGAGATATTATTACTTTTCAGGTTGACCTGCATTTCCCTAAATGCCTCTTCATTCTTTTTGAGTATTTTCATTTTCTTGCTCTTTCTGGGAGCTTTTTTATACCTTATCCTCCAGCTCGCTGATTCGATCTTCTGCTTCATCTAGCCTGTTTTTGATTCCTTCCACTGTGTTCTTCAATTCAGAAATTGTATTCTTCATTTCCTCTTGTGTCTTATTGATAGTTTCTATGTCCTTTTTCATGCTGATATAGTTTGTAGTAAGTTCCTCATAATTTCCCTGTAGTTTTTGGTAATTCTCTCTGAGCTCATTGAGCTTCCTTAGAACTGTTGTTTGGAACTCAGTATCTGATAGTTTACTTGCCTCTGTTTCATTTAGTTCTCTTTCTGGGGATTCCTCCTTTCTCTTCAACTAGGAGGTGTTTCTTTGTCTTCCCATTATTTGTGAGAATTTTCTTTTTTGCTTCTGCTTCTTGAATTGATGTGTCTTGATTTCCTGACTTTGTGGTGTTAACTTCTATGGTAGGAGTCTGCTGGGGTTTTTTTCCTTCTGGATCTGCCTCTGATGATGTCAGATATTGACCCTGTCTATCTTGGGCAGTCTGTTCTAGACTTCCAGAAATTTATTGTCCTTCAACTGTTAACCTAGTCACTTTGCACTCAGCAGGTCAGCTTAGAGATACCACAGGGCAGGACAGAGTCCTTCCTTGTGGGCAAGGTTATTGGGTCCTCTCATGCTGCTGCCACTCAGGGGGAGTGGTCTCTGTCTGAGCAAGATGACTGCTGCCTTTTGGGGGAAGAGTTAGCACTGGAATCCCGCTGACTACTCTTTCAGTTTTCTCCTCAAAGCCTCCTTCCTCAGTCTCTCCTCAGGCATCTCTAGCTCACTGTGTGCCCGCCTTTGCTGGAGACTAGGGTAAGTGGTAGTTAGGTTGTGCTAATGCTGATTCTTCTGTCTGTCCAAGGTTATAAGGCTCCTCTCTTGCTATTGTTCAGTTGTTTGTTCCAGGTGATTTCGCCACAAGTTAGTTGTGATTCCAGATTTGTCCTGGGAGGAGGTCAGTGTGACTTCCATTCACTCCTCCACCATCTTGATTTCTCTAATTCCCATTTTAAAGATTAAGGAACGTTGAGTTAGTAATTAGCTTAAGCTCATGTGTCACTTTATATGTAAGTAAATGGAGACTCAGAGTGGTTTAGTTATTTATTCAAGATTTTACAACTGGTATATGACAGAGCCAGAATTTGAACTAAAAATTTGTGATTGACACAAAGCCTCGGTTGGTTCCTGTTTCCTATAGTCATTAAAACAAAACAGTTTGGTACTCTGACATGTTCCCATCACAATATCTAACTGTTTTCTCTTCAGAGATGATAAATTGTTCCTGTAAAAGGCCAGATAGTTAATATTTTAGGTATTGCTGTTGTAGCACACAAGCACTGGTGGACAATACTAAATGAATGGGTGTAAGTGTGTTTCTATAACACTTTATTTACAATAACAGATTTTGCCCTCTGGCTGCAGGTTGTTAACTCCTCTAGTTGCTCAGTAGACAAGGGTTACCTGTCCCTACCCCGTTCCCTGCTCCTCTGCTTAAGAAAGAAAAAAGAAACTTTGGCATTTCTACCCTATATAACTAGGCGTCAAGGGAAGGGAAGGCTATGTTAAAGATGTAATAGAAATGAATTGGCCTTTGTTTTTTCAGATATAGTCCAATCTCGCAAGAGAAAAAAAATACATAAATTAGTGTAAACCAAAAATAAATTTCTGTTTTGATTCTTTTCTTTTCTACTATAGATGCCTTGCATCTGGATAGTCTCACACTGATTCCAAGACTGTCATTGATACCTTTCTCATGTGTAGCTAACCAAATTCATGCTTCATGTGAAAGGCCCAAATATGGAAAAATAGAGGATGGTACTTTGGATGTGACTAGAACACACAAGTAAGTTTTGTTTTTTGTTTTTCCTTTGTATTGAATTTAGTGGGGTGACACTGTTTAACGGAATTATACAGATATCAGGTGCAGAATTCTATAACACCTCACCTATACATAGTATTTTGTGCTCACCACCCCAAGTCAAGTCTTTTTCCATCACCATCCCCCTATATCCTCCCCCACCTCTCCTCACCCCCCACCCCTCCACCTCCACAATCACCACTCTGTTGTAAGTTAAAAGATCAAAATATACCTACTCTTCTCTTCATGGGTGGCCTATTCCCATTGCCTAAACTTTTAATCAGTTATATTTTCATATCCTGAGATAATAACATCTTTAGTGTGAAAGTTTTATTGTACAAATTCTCTAACTTTCTGAACATTAACCATTTTAAAACAAAAAATGTCTCCACAGTTTTCTTACTCTTTTTATTTTCATAATATCCATTTGGAAATGTGAGAGACAAATTAGGCTACCTGAAATGCTTCCCAGTTTTTAGAAATACACTATGAACTGCTAACTTAACTTACTCAGATAGGTTTTGATCATACTGTATATCTATTCCTTTGCATTCAGGGTTCTCAAGCCTTTGGGAATTCATATTTGTTCTAACACCCACCCGTCCCTGAAGATCATCTGCACTCACTGTCCTCAGTAAACAGACTGATCTTCTCTAGGAAAAGTTCAGAACTGTCAGTGGAATTAATGAGCACTGTCCACCCCAGTGAAATTTCTGTTCTGTATTGAGGGTGAGGAAGCAAGGCTTTGCATTGCAAATTCTTCATTTTCATTTTTGGCTAGGTTCTCTGGGGCTTGTAACTTCTCTCTGCTGGTGGTTAGAGCTCTCTTTCATTATGCCTTACTTAATCTATGAATCCATAGAACTTAATTAAAAATTTGGTAAAGCTGGGGTGGGGTAGGGGAACTATGTTATAGTTGATTTCTGCTGAAATTTGCAATTTTCCCACCTATAGTAAAGAACTTTAGTTTCTATTGCCAGGTTCCCAGGCCCAACAATTGGCCCCGACCCAGGAACAGATCTTTCCAATTGCATCAGGATGAATGATGACCTAAGTATGGGAGTGAGTATTACAGTATATTTTAATTTCATTTTTAGAACTACCATATCCTGGTCCTCTTCTACGGGTATTCTTTTTTAAAAAAATACTGGTGACTGCAGTTATATGAATATTTTCATCTGGGCAGGTGGCTGGTGTCCCTAACCCCTGCATTATTCAAGGGTCAGCTGTATTATGGATACTTTTATAGCAAGTATGAGTCTTACACCACAGAACTCAAATGCATAAGAAATGTCAACCTTTGATGACAGGCAATTAAAATTCAGTCAGGGAGTTTTCTACCACCTCTGTTGTATAAGCTCAAGGATATATAACCAAAAGAAGATTTTGATGAAGTGTGCTGAACTTTTTGTTTGAGAGATGGGCTAATTTGAGACTTAAATTCTCTAGTGACTTTCAGAATTCTGAAGTCCCATCAACTTACTCTCTAAGAATTAAGCTCAAGGCTAGTTCTTTTAGGTGCTGGTACTTGTGAAAAAAAATCATAAAGTAGGGCAATGCCCAGAGAATATCCTTTGCTGCAGTGAAGTGTTAATGGTACTTTTCTACCCAAGCAGAGGAGAACACTAAGCATCACTCAGGCGAACTCCCCAGGTCATGAAGATGGCTCCTGGGCTCCTTCTTTGGCCTGCAGTCTGAGCCCGAGCCTCGCGAGCTCCTCAATCAAATGGAGCAGACAGCTCTGTTTCAGGATCTGACAGTCCATCATTCTTCCTTTTTTTAAACAGCTTTATTGATATATAATTCATATACCAAACAATTCATCAATTTAACTTATTTGACTGAGTGCTTTTAAATATGTTCAGAGTTGTACAATCATTACCACATTCAATTTAAACACATTTGATCACCCCAAAAAGAACATTTATATCCATTAGCAGTCTATCCAGATTCCTCCTCCTGCAAACCCTCATCCCTAGGCAACCATTAATCTACTGTCAGTCTCTACAGATTTGTCTATTCTTGATATCTCTTGTAAATAGAATAATCCAATATGTGACCTGTTGTGCCTGGCTTCTTTCATTTAGCATAATGTTTTCAAGGTTAATTTATGTTATAAATTAAAATTTATAAGTATTATAAATTAAGTATAATTTAAAATACTTATAAAATTATAAGTATTTAGTTCATTTTCTTTAACTGAATAATATTTTAGTGTATAAATATACCACATTTTGTTTACCCATTGATCAGCTAATGGGCATTTGGGTTGTTTCTACTTCTGGCTGTTATGAATAATGCTACTGTGAATATTACTGTATAAGTTTTTGTGTAAACATGTTTTCAGTTTTTTTGGAATATATATATATATATGCCATATATATATGGAATTGTTGTATTATATGGTAACTCTATGTTTAACATTTTAAGGAAATGAAAACAAATTTACAAAGTGGCTACATCATTTTACATTCCCACCAGTAATGTATGAGGATTCTAATTTTCTCCACATCCTTGTCAACACTTATCTGTCTTTTTTGATCATAGCCATCTTAGTGGGTGTGAAATTGTAGATCATTTTGGTTTTTCTGTGCATTTCTCTAATGACAGGTGATGTTTAGCACCTTTTTATGTACTTGTTGGCCATTTGTACATCTTCTTTAGAGATATGTCTACCCAGATCTTTTGCTCAGTTTAAAAAGTGGACTATTTTTTTTACACAGAGTTATGCAAGTTGGTCTCATTCTTTCTTTTAAATATATGTGTCTGACATTTTTCTGTTCCTTAGTACTCATCTATTGAGTAGCTAAGAAGAGGAAAGAAAAAGGAAATGAATCTATTTTGCTATTACTTAGCAGTTCTTGTAAAGTTTTAATAAAGGAAGTTGAACTTGGAAACTTACAGGATATTTGGGAAGCTTACAGGATATTTGGTTATTAGTAATTTTCCTTTTATCTGGCACTGATTTCATCATGAAGGAGGAAGAAACAAACACTGTCATGGAATCAACCCATTTGGGAGCCAAGATACTGTTACTGAAACAAGCCCCCTCCCCTGGGGTCTTTCTATTCTCGGTTTGTCTTGCCTGCCACCAGTATGAACTGTGGTTCTTAAAGCCAGAGTTTGGTAAAAAGGAAAGGAACTATTTCTTCCAAAGTTATACAGGTTTAGAGTAATGGTGGAATGTCACCATTAAATCTCAAAGTCTCTAAAACACCCACAAACACACATAGTCCTGCCTCCTCTTGCCAAACCAGGCCAGTCACAGGTACTGTATCTCAGGAAAAGAAATAGAAGTCTGTAGCTTGGCTAGGCTCCCATTCTTAATCCAAAACCTCATCCTCATGGTGGGCTAATGTAAGTCCTTCTACATCCTTTCAAACCACTAAGAGAGAGCTCCACATCACTGCTACATATTGCTTTCCTGTTTCCTACGCTGTGTGGTCAAGGGATCCCTGTTTTGGCTCCCAAAACTGTGTGGTTAAGTTCCAGCATGACTGCCACTCTGGATTTAAATCCCAGGGTGAATCTTCCTCTGTAACCCCATTTCTGACTCCTCCCACAATCAACTACACCTGCCAGTAGTCTGGCTTCTTCTGCCTTTGTTGGCTGCCATTGTTAGACCAGGCAAATGTGGCCCCTGATGCAGAAGCCACCTCCAAGCTGCTCTCGCAGGGACAGGAAGCCCCTCTGGCAACATTGCATCATGGGTTAGAGTCACACCCATCTCCCTGGCTCTGTGCAGGCACAGGTTTTAATATTATTAAAACACTGGCCAAGTTATCCTGTTACAACAGCAGTTGTATACCAGGTACTTCATAGGAAAGCATTTCCACATGCCATGTTAGTAAGCCTCTGTACATTGATTGTAGGTATTCTCTACTTTTACAGATGATGCAATGAAGTTCAGAAAGGTTAAATAACTTACCCAAGATTACTCAGCTAGTAAGTAGAAAACAAGGAATTCAAATTCAGCTTTCTCTAGCTTCAAAGAATAAGCTTTTCTCACTGTCCCTCTTGCAACACCGAATTTAGACATTTTTAATCATAATAATTACTCATAGTTACCTTGAAAGTAGGGGGGGGGTTTGGCTAAGAAATGTTCTGGCTTATATATGTAAAAGTTACCACTAATCCACTCCCATTAGAATATGTGACTGAGTTGTTTTGTCTATGGTATTGACACCAATTACAAAATAGAAGCTAAAAGAGATCATAATAGAAACACTTGTAAGATGCTCCTGGGGAGGTGTATAGGTTTCCCTGTTGTATTCTGTGCCATTTCTTCTACAGTCCCCAGGAACTAGTCTGCCAGCTGCACTTTGTAGCTGTTGCTGCCAATTCTTAGCATTCCTTTTCCAGGTTTCTGAGCCATTGAAGAATCTACACAGCTTGTCCACTGCACATTTCACTTCCTCATGCCTGCCCCTTGAGTAAAGCCCTACCTCTCATCCCTTTGTGCACCCACACCCATCTCCTGAACAAATAGAAAGCTCTCCTTAGAAAGTGCTTTTCTAAGCATTCTCATTAATAGTAAGTACAAAGAATTAGAATGAAATATGAAATAAAAAGTATAAAAACCATAATCTGTGTTCATCCCAGTGACCCATAAACCATAGTGTTTTCCTAAACTCTTTGGCTTCAAACTAGACTTTTCATTACTCTTGAGAGCCTTCATAACAAACAACTTGACCTGGTATCAGCCCCTTCTCTAATCTGGTCACAACGTAACTTTCCATCCTTTCCTCATCACGGCCTTGTTTATGCCGACATGTCAGGCAAACTAGGTAGTATGTATGGTCAGAATATATTGCACAGAACTGTTTGTGCTATTTACCCAAAAACACTGTACACGTCTCCATTTCCTAAATTCTATTTGACTGTCAAGGCCCATTTCAAAAGCCAATGGTTCCACAAAACCTTTCTTGTGGTAAGATGAAATGTTCACAGTCGAGCATCTTTAGGCCTTCTTGAGGTAAAAGTCACAATGCCTTAGAAATTAAGTGATCAGGTTTTTCCCAGGTTATGTTTCTGTATAACTATAAAAAAGTCATGTCTTTCAGGTCTTGGTTTCCTCATTTCTCAACTATCCACTCAGGAAAATATAAGTTCTTTCAGACCCCAGTAACTTGTTGTTCTCCCCTCATTGTCACCTATATTCTAGTGCCATTGAGCAATGTGTACCTTGATCCCTACATGAATTTGGTGAACAGTGGCTTCCCCATTAGTACGTGTTGAATACCCATATACTGATTTGTTTTTGTACTCCCTTCAGTGTCTATCTAAGGCATTGAGAGTACACACTCAATGAACTTGTTGAGTTGATACCTTGTACTATCACTTTCTCACTCTTTTCTTCAGATTGGTGTTCCTGAGAACTTGAAACTTATTTCTTTATCTCTCACATATTCATAGAGGAAGCTATATTTTAGCCTCTAATTTGGAAAGCAAAGTGTGAGGTAAAAGTAAACATCAGTATTCATAAAAGGGTATCTGGGTATGCAAAGGACTCTAATGAGAATATCTCACAAAGAACATCCCAGAATTTGGGGCCTAGTTTGGGACATTCTTTAAGAGAATAGAGCTACTTTACTGACCAATGAAATTAATTTATTTAGGATATTTTAGTGTAAAAAGGAAAGAAGAAAATCAATTATTTCCAATCCTCTTTTCAAGATTCAGACTGAAATATATATGGAAGAAATATTTGACATCTGAGATTTGCTTCAAAACAGTGCAGGGTGGATTTAGTATAGGCAAAACAAGATTGGGCATAGATTTAATCTAAATAATTGTACACAAAGGTTAATTATTTTAGTCTGTCTACTTTTGTATTTATTTTAAAATTTTCCAGTAAGGACTTAAAATTTTTAGCCACTTAGCAAAAGTATAGAATCAAACGGGTCTGGATTTAAGGCTGACTCTGCTGCTTTTTAGCTGTGTGAACTTGGGCAAGTGGCTTAACCTCTCTCAATTAGGTTGTTTCCTATGTGAAACAGAGATACTACTTTTCAGGGTTCTTTTGAGGATTCAAATAGACCTGCACACTGATACATAAGTTA